TATGAAATCTAGTGAGCCATACATATGTCAGTGAATTTCTATTATGTTACATGTTAGAATTAAATGAGGGAATTGCTACATAGAAGGTATAAATACTATTATTGTATGCTTTTATAGATTATGAAACACACTTAATTCAAAGCCATACAGTCAGTTTCCATAATATTAATACAATCTAAGCATTCTTCATCTCCAGTGACAGTGTTACTAACTTAGCATTTTTATTTTGGAGGATAGCTTTATCCCAAGTATAGCCAGTGGCATGGTGGCAGTTAGTGGTTGAGACATCAGTATTTCCAGTTAAATTGTCATTGAATAATATAGTCCCTTGAAAGTGGAAGTTGCTTATTTTTAAAGGGGTCTTTTTTTTTTTTTTTTTTAAATGCTCCAAGTCCCCAAATTTATAGAATTGCATAGGAAAGCAAATGTTGTCACAAACCAGAAGTACTCACTGGTCAACCAACCACTTACTATATTGGTTTCCAGTATTCACAATTCTCCTAGTACCTTTGAGTGCCTGCCTGCCTAATCCCCACTATCAGTTTCACCTTGAGGTTCTCTATGCAGCTGCTCAAGTCCTTCTATGAATGCCTCTTTGAGGCAGGATGGATTGGAAATTAGCTCTAATACCTCATTATTGAAGGAGGAGGATGTTTCCTCTTCTAGAGGTCAATTGGCATCACTGCTGTTTAAGGACTAAGAGGCATTGCTGAATATATATGAGAATGAAGTTAGGGGAGCAAAGGAGAAGAATTTTCTTGGGGTATCGAGTAGAAAAAACAAACTGCTTGCTTCTTCTCCTATACTGTCACAGCACAGAACACTTCTGTGATCAGATGTGTGGGAGATTTTCCCCAAGCACTGAGCCAGCAGTTCTCCAGCTGGGTGTCCTCTAACGTAATTCAGTTCTTAGCAGTATTTACCTGGAGGTAGTGTCACAGCCCACAGGTTGAGGGCTCTGTCTCACAGGACTGCCTCCCCCCTGCTCCCCTCCTCCCCAGCGTGCACACACACACACACACTCTGTCTCACGTACACACACACTCTCTCTCTGTCTCTCTGTCTCTCTCTCTCTCTCTCTCTCTCAAGATGCCAATTGGAAGCCCCAGGTTGTTTTTCCTGTGCTTCTGCCAGCCATAAATCAGGATTCCCACACTCCCTTCTTGGGCTCAGCTAATTTGCTAGAGTGGCTCACAGAACTTAGGGAAATACTTTACTTACATTTACCAGTTTATTATAAAGGGGATTAGGAAGGAGACAGATGAACAGCCAGATGGAAAAGATACATAGGTCCGAGTATCGGAGAAGGGGTGAGGAGCTTCCAAATATATTCTCTCCAGGTAAGTCACCCTCCAGGAACTTCCATGTGTCCAGCCACCTGGAAGCCCATCCACACCCAGTCCTTTTGGGTTTTTTATAGAGGCTTCACTGTAAAGGCACGATTGATTTAAATCATTGGCCACCCATAACCAACTTAACTGTCAGCCTGTCCCACATCCTTAAAGGTTAGGGGTTATGGCTGAAAGTCCCCACCCTCTGGTTATGCCTTGCTCTTTACTGTGACTAACCCACACCGGAAGCTATCCTTGAGCCCCCAGCCATCAGTCAGCTCATTAGTATGCACAATGACGCTTAGCACTTTGGAGAACCTAAGGCTATCAGAAGCTATTTGTTAGGAAATGGGAAGACTAAATATATATTTCACAATATCACAGATGTCTTTAAAGAAATGTTACTTCAGGAGTATGTAAAATTTGCTTATAAAAAAAGAGCATATTAAGTGTGTTTAGGTGGCTTCTACACTCTAGGCACTTTTTATGTGTTATTAATTTAATACCCTTAACTGTGAGAAGTAGGTAGTAGGATTTTCCTGTTCACTGACTAAGGCTTAGAGAGCTGTATTGAATAGATTACTCCTGAGCCTATGTGTACACTCCTATAATATTCAACCTGGCACTTTTTTGGTTATAATTTATCCACTGTGTCTGAATTCTATTTTCCCAAAGTTTCCCCACTTGAGCCTTCCTATTTCATATTTTTCTAATGTATCATAATCAGAGTTCTGAATGCTACATGCTGTAGGGGGAGAATAGTGGATAACTTTCTCCTTTATGTGCTGGAATTAATTTATTTTTACTGATAATAGTATTTATTGAATATTTCCTAGATGACAAATACTGCAAAGGCACTAGACATACAATTGGAGAAAAGAACTGCAATATAGAATTAAATTTAAAGGAATAATTTGTATTGCTTAGATGTGCCAGTTGTTGGAGACTTTCTGTGATATGCTCATCCCCCTCTTTTTTTTTCTTTTGGGAAAGAGGAATTTGGGATGAGGTCACAAATATATTAGTTTTAGGACCTAAGTGAGTTTGTTGGAAGGGATCAGAAGCTAGGATGAGGAGGAACTGAAAGAATGCCTTAAGGAAAGGGGGGATATGTAGGCTTGCTTTCTTATTTAACCTGTATGAAAAACCTACTTTTATTAAGCCAGCAATATAAGTACTTTAATAGTATCTTTGATCTATTGTAGTTGGCTTTGCTAGCAGAACTTGATATGGATATTATCAAGTTCTTGATAGCTTTATATTTGATGTCAGTGACAAGTTAGATCTAAGTTCCAGTACTTTTGTGCCCTCTGCTAATTAATTAGAAGTAAAGTGAACTAGGCATTTCCTCAACAGCAGGTAAGAGGATCTAGAGTCAGAAAGATCGACCAGAAACTAGTCTGATACAACATGAAGGACTATGTTCAGGTACCTGCAGCTGAACTCGAAAAGCCTTATGAATTTACTTCAACAAGGGAGTCAACTACATTTCTATACTTGAGTAGGTCCAATGATTTTATTTTACTTGTGATATTTATAAGTAGAGTATTCTTATTTATTTAAAAGTCTATATAGTAATTTCTTTTGTGCTTATTATTATTGCCAATTATTTAAACCTTATTTTGTCTTTGATATAATTTTATAAAAACCTGAAATTGTAAATTAAAAATTTCAATCTATATGCCTTCTTTATAGTGGGTAGTTTTTTATTTTTGGTAAGTGGTCAAAAAGATGTTTTTGTTTTGTGTTGACCTTCCTGAGAAACTCACGGTGATCATTTACTTCCCTATGTGACAATGCATCCCTCATCTGTTAGGCACATACATTTCTGCAATTATTTTCATTGGTCATGATTTATAGAAAGCTGAAATATTTAAAATAATTAAGAAATTTGCTGGTACTTGAGTTTAGTGTGGCAATTACTCTTTGAAGTCATCAGGTCTGGGTTGGAATTGCAGTTCCTCAGATCCTCCCCAGCTGGGTTTTACTGGACAAAATTGGCCTCTCTAAGCTGGTCTGCTCATTTATCCAATGGAGATGATCATGACCCTCAGAGAGTTGCTAAAGGAGTGAGCGAATAATGTTGTAACATCCTTAGTACAGTGCTGCACATGTCATCTTCAGAAAGTGGTAATTGTCCCTCCTGCTACTGATATAGTTACGGTTGTGAACCGTATGTAAAATTTGTGATTTTTAAATTATGGGTTTACAACAAAGGTTTTTATGCTATTGGGAATCCTATCTTAAGGGCCCTTGATCATCATCTGCTTACCGTGATTATAATACTCTTCTTACTGCATTACTAATAATAGTTACCATTTTATTGAGTGTTTGCTTAATAAGAGCTTTATATACAATTTTATTTAATTCTCATTATTATGAAGAAGGCATTATTACATCTGTTTTTACTGATGGGGAAACTTGAGTGTAGTAAGACAACCCACCCAGCCCAGCTGGACAGAGGGAGACTGATTCCCTTCAGATCTATCTGTTCCAAACCTATGTTCTTTAACCCGTGGCTGTCCACTGGACACTTCACCATTTGTTTATCTGTCTCTCCTGGTAAACCTAACCTTCCCAAAAGTGGAAACTGGACGTTGTTTGCATTCCAAGGTTACATTTAAATTTCAAGCTTTTTTAAACTAAAAGCAGTGTATAGTGTATAACATCAGAAATGTGAAATTTAATAGCTTATTAAGAATCTTTCTTATTGAAAATAACAACATTTCCCATTCTGATAGAAAACTTGAAGCATTAGGACTTGTTTTTTAGACGTATGGCCAGTCTCTGCCATGCTAACAATTTGAATTTACTATATTTGGCTTTGCATTAGTGTTCACTAAGTACTCACTTAATCTTCTTTTCAGGTTATAAGCTTCTTTCATCATTGCAATACAGGACCTGGCTCAGTGCTTGTGTGCTTAATACATATTTGGTTTTAATTTATTTCAGTGTCAGTATTAATGTTGATCTGAAGTATTTTTAGATTATTTCAGTTGTTTGGAATTCATCAGTGAGCAAAACAATGATCCCTGCCTTCATCTGAGTTTATGTCCTGGTGAGGGTGCACAGATGAGGACCAGTAACCACAATAGAAAGTTTATTTAATGTGTTAGGTGATAAGTGCTATGGGAAAAAGAAGGTAGAGCAGGGTAAGGGTGGTCAGAGAGGCTTAGATGAAGAATTGAAGAAGGTGACAGAGTTATTACAGCTGTTAGTAGATACTTGGGCATGCCCCAGGCAGAGGGAACAGTGAGAGCTAAGATCCAAAGGAGGGGGCCTAGCTAGTTAGAATTAGCAGGGAGACCACTGTGGCTGGCGTAGAGTGGATTGCGACAGGTGGGTGGGAGTGTGACGGAGTTGTGGGAAGATGACATCAGAAAGGAGATAAAGGGGGCATGGATGTTGTTTTCACTTTGTCAGATGAATTTGGCAGGACGTGTATGCATGTTAAACAAAAATTCTTAGAAGCTGCGTGTCTTTGGAGTAAGGATAAGAAATTTAACTTACTCTTTTCTTAATCCCTGATTACATTTGTATATCTTTATTTGTGGCAGTTTGAATTTTGTATTTTATATAGCCCGTTAATATTCAGAAACTTGAATTTCCAGGTCAGTTTACAATATTAATAATCTCTATATTTCTTGATTTTTTTTTTTTTTTATACAGGAGTATGCTGTTGCTGTTCCGCTTTGCGTCCTCGCTACAAACGCCTGGTGGACAACATATTCCCTGAAGATCCAAAAGTAATTTGATCTACATCTACTGATCCTTCTCTTTGCTGACCCATTCTGCCCCCCGCTGACCTCCCTAAGGTTTCCCTAATTTCATTTCTCTACTTTTACCCCTACATCTCATCATTTGTACTACTTTTTTTGTACTTTTCCTTTTTTTAAACTCTTAAATGACTCATGCTTGCTTGTTTAGTTTTCAGATCCTTTTAGTAGATTAGGCAGAAATCTGGAAAAATGGACAGTTGATGTTCTTTTATAGTTTATGTAGTGTCTAATTTAAGTAACACTGTCTCATTAATTTATGTTCATTAATTTATGAACCAGTACCAGTTTAAACTAAGTGCTCATGATACCACTGTGAACAGAGAGAAGGTTTTCTACTCTCATTATGCACATATATAAGTAAATTGGTAATTACAATTTGTTGTGAAAAAATGTTGTACTAGACTAATGAAGTATGGGCTGCTACTGGAGTAGATAGGAGTGATACCCAATTTGGGTTGAGAAGAAAGCCTGGAGGAGATAAAATCTAAGCTAAGATCCAAAGAATAAATAGGGATTGACCTCACAGTTTTTAGAAGAGAACTGAGAGGTAAAGAAAGATGGTTTCAGGCAGAGTTTTTCTTTTTGCTTAAATACTATTTAATTTTTTAATAACAATTATTTGTGAAGATTACTGGTTTCGAAGCAACTGGTTGGGGTGATTTTGTTTCACATTGCCTCAACCTTTCTAAGACTTCTGTAGTCTCATGTTAAATTAATATGAACAAAAAAAAAGTTACATGGCTTTTGACTTCCAAAATTTGCTTTATTTTAAAATGTAACAACCTGTATAAAACTTTTGGTTATCTTAACATTAACTTAATGTTGATATATCTTATTTTTAACCAAATCTGTTTAAACCTTCAGTTATGTAGAGGAGGTTAATCAATTAAATATTATTGGCTGCCAGATATCCTGGATAATTTGTGACATATTAAAAATCCTAAGATACAGTACCTGCCTTTAAGGACCTTTCCATGCAGTAACTGGCATAAAGCAGAAACATACTAAATATGAAATTACAATGCATAAATCGTCAGTAAAATGCTGAGTAAATCAGGTGGAAAGTTTTTGCCTCTAAAGCAAGTAGGTATCACTGTGGGTTGGGAACCTCCAGGAAGCATTCACAGAGGAAATGAGATTTACTGAGCTTTGAAGGATGTATACCATCTGGAGAGGTAGACAAGATTAGTTTCTTTATTGCAAGTGAGGGGAAAGAGAAAAGACATGGGAAAGCAAGACATATATTTGAAGCCTAGAGCAAGTTATCCATCAAACTTCAAGCAAAGGTTTATATAACCTAATTTTAGAGTGTAAGGGTGGTAATCATGTTGACCATGATTTCTCATTTGAAATTTCAAATGTTATCAGTTAGTACGCTGAATATCCAAATAATTATTTTCCTGAGAAGTCTAGGACATATGGTTACTGAAGGTAAGGTGGAGGCCAGATTTTAGAGGATTGTGAATGACAAGCTTAGTCACTTTAACTCGTAGGCAGTGAGGGAGCTTTGTACACTTGATCATTGAAATGACCACAGGTAAATTAGAGAAAGAATCCTTGTTTTTGGCAAGGATTTATATAAGATTTATTTAAATAGCAGTCTTTAAAGTTAGATTTTTAAAAAGAAAAAGATCTGCATGAACCTTGAATACGTATGGCAAACATTACTCAATTTGCCATATTTCTTATTTTTAATTTATTAAAACAAACACATCTTGTGATATGTCCATAATGGGTCAGACAGTAGGTACCCAAACGCAGAAGCAAACATGTCATAGTCCCTACCTTGAAAGAGAAATCTAGTAAGGGGGACAGATAAACAATTTCTTAAAATTAGTAGCCAGATGATCCTGGGCAAGTCCCTTGATTTCTCATCATGTAATGGAAGTAATAAATAGTAGCAGTCTCATAATGTTCTCATGAAGACTAAATGAGTTAATGCAGCTCTTTGCTCACTGTTGCTTTCCTAATGTCTATCATAGTGCCTGGCACATTGTTGGCATTCATTTGTTTAATGAATGAAAAGATGATCTGATAAAATATAATAGTGGAGATAAGTACTGTGAGCTAAAAGAACATATAGTTGGCACATCTCACCCAAACTTGAAGCAGGGGTTTTTGGGAGGGTGCAGCACATTTTTGGAGGAAGCTAAGACCTAAAGGATGAGTAGAAATTATCCATGTGAACTGGAGAAGGGTTCCTGGGCAAAGAGATGAGTTGAGTGAAAGAAATCTTGCACAAAAGATATGATTTGTAAACTGTGTGGTTCTATTTATGTCCGATGCATGCTGATTCATAGTGATAAAAAGCAGAGCAATGGTTGCCTGAAGAGGGAGAAGTGGCCTGCAGAGGACATGGGGAATCTTTTGTAAACGATGAAAATGTTCTGTACATGTTGAACATCCCTAATCCAAAAATCTGAAATCTGAAATGCTCCGAAATCCAAAACTTTGTGAGCACTGACATGATACTCAAAGGAAATGTTCACTGGAGCATTTTGGATTTTGAATTTTTGAATTAGGGTTATCTAAGTGGTTAAGTATCTGCAAATATTTCAAAATCTGAAAAAATAGCCAAAGTTGAAAGCACCTCTGATCCCAAGCATTTTGGATGAGGTATCCCCAACCCATATCTTATTTTTAGCAGTGTCTTCACAGATATATACAACTGTCACATTTCCGATTATATACTGTAAGTCAATGCAGTTATTTATATATGGATTATCACTCAATGAAATTAGTAAGGGATTAAAAATATAGGAGAGACACAATTGTATTTAAATGATGATGTGGAGGAACTGATACAGAGGGAGAGGTCAAAGAACTAGGAATAAGAGAGGCTAACTGATAGAGCCGGATCATGGAACTGTGTGTGGAAGACAGCTAGAGCAGAGACAAACCAATTCCTCATAGACAGGAAAACTAGGTTCCTTCACTTTGCCTAGGGCAGGGTTTCTTGACTTAGGCTTCAGTTGACATTTTGGTCTAGATAATTACTTACTTTGGGGGGCTATTTTGTGCATCGTGAGATATTTGGAAACATCCCTGGCCTCTACCTACTAGATCCCAGTACCCACCTTCACCTATCTATGACAACCCATAATGCCTTTAGACATTGCCCTGGAGGGGCTCAGTTACCCCTGGTTAAGATCTACTGGCCTAGCAGGCATTGAGAAAGCAGGGATGTTTTGCCAGTAAATACTAATCTGATGGCTTCCACCTTCTCCGAGAAAGAGAAGAGCTCATTTGCTGTCTGAGAGAGGAGAGAGGCACAAAGTAGCAAGTTTGAGGAAAACGGAGTAGGTGCAGAATATGAGGTGGTGACTCAACTAGGAAAACAGCAAAATAGCCAAAGAACATTGAGGGACCAGTTGAAGGTGAAAACACACATCTACACGATTTTTGTTGTAGATTCTAACATAGTTTTCCCTTTTTCTCTTCTCACCTATTCCAATATTCCTAAGCAACACTTACTTGGGTTATATATGGCCAAGAAACTTATGTGGTAATTGGAGAGAATGTATGCACCTGTTGCACATCATCTTTTAAAAGGCAGCGACAAATGACCATTTTAGAATCCCATATCAGGGACCTCTTGTTCCTTTTTAAATATGTTGAACAAGTATAGATTCTACAGCTCTGAATACCTTCTCGTTTATTAATTACAACAAAAACTTATAATGATATCACTGACTTCTGAATCATTAAAAAAGCCATATGTTGACTATCATGTAAGTAAATGAGTAAAACAAGCTTAATAAACATTTCACATTTTTAAACTGAAACAAATTTTGTTTGAAATCTTTTTACATCTATATCCCATTCCCTATATACTACAGATAATTGAGCTATGTCTCTATAAAGGAAGATGTTAAGAGTCTAATTTACTGTTTGTGCTTTGTGTAAATGGGGCATTTTTAAAAATGTTCTGAAAGTTCTATGTATCCATCATGGTGAATATTAGCACTAAGGAGGTTATGTACAGAAGGGTTATTCATAAATATCATTTAATCCCCAATCCAAAAAGGGAAAATGTAAAGCAGGCAACACTTAAAAATATAATAAGCATGAAAATATAATCTATCTTGTTATTCTTATTATTTTTAGGATGGCCTTGTGAAAGCTGATATGGAGAAATTGACATTTTATGCAGTATCTGCTCCAGAGAAACTGGATCGAATTGGTTCTTACCTGGCAGAAAGGTTGAGCAGGGATGTTGTCAGACATCGTTCTGGGTAAGGAAACTAATGGCTGCTAAAATAGTATCTTTGGAAAATTCTTTCTAGACTTTTAAATCATTCTATAGATTATTTTGCCATTTAGTGCAACAAAGATAATATATAGAGGATAAAACATGTAGTATTATACAAAGAAATGTATAATACTCTGATAGATGCTGTGGCTTTTATTACTTTCCTGGTGGTCAGGTTTTGTGAGTAGGCTATGTTAGTTTACTGAGTTACCTTTAGCTTGTGACTATTGATTTTTGAGACTTTTCTAATGGGAAATAGTAGAAATTGACTCACTTAGTCTATCAGTGCAATACTGTAATTTAAAAATCAATCTCTAAATTGAAAACAAACAGAAAGATCCTGTTAACCAGATGATTTTTTTTTTTCCCCACATAGCTTCAGTTTTACCTCTCAGAGGAGTAATAAGAAAGAACCGTATTAGGCTTAGATATCAAGGCCCAGGAAATTCAAGCATGCTGATTTGGCACTATGCTAGCTACACTCCTACTGATAAATAGAAGTCTACCGTCCTTCTATAGTCTCTGTGCTCGCACAAGAATAACTTTGCAATTTGGATTATAAATACTTTCTCAATCTGTCATTTTATGATCCAGGTTTTCAGGAGTATTCTATTCTCCAAGTGATATATTAGTTTTCTGTACCTTTGCATTGTTACCACTTAGAATATTTTAGTAAGTCATGGCACACATAGCTTTATGGTTGATTGTTGAAGGAAAAGTGTCTAAAGACTGAATTTTAATTATTTTTTGGATTTACCGTTTAAAAATTGATACATGATATTTTACATATTTATGGAGTACATGTGAGTATTTGTCACATGTACAGAATGTGTAAAGATCAAGTCAGGGTATTTGGGCTATCCATCACCTCAATTTATCATTTCTGTGTGTTGGGAACATTTCAAGTCCTTTTCTAGCTACTCTGAGATATACAGTACATTGTTGCTAACTTTAGTCACCCTACTGTGCTACCGAACATTAGAACTACTTCTTTTATCTGATTTTGTAAGTTTGTATTCATTAATCAAACTCTCTTCATCCCTCCACACCCTGCCCACCCCCAGCCCCACTTACATGCCCTTCCTAGCCTCTGGTGTCTGTCTGAATTTTAAGTACAAGATGTAAAATCTGATGAATTTTAAAGTAATATTTATGAGATTTTTAAAATAATGTTCTGTTGCTGATAGTGTTTTATCTACTCACATTTAGACATATAAGTAGATTATATTGGAAATTGTCACATTACCGTAATAATTATTTTGGGTCAGATACAAGTAAATATGGTTAAAAGTCTGGAAAATAGAAAATGTCCATATTTACAAAGAAAAATATACACAAAGTTAATGTTAAAGAAGCTCAGATAATTAAGGAGAAAATGGAGGAATACAGTGTATATTTTCTGTATACTTTGATAGAAGGATTATTTTATAACCAAGATATTAGTGCTGTGTGAGAATTAAGATTTTACTTAGGAGTTACTAAATTTGCATTTCTTTCTTCAGTGTATTTCAATAGAATTATTTCAGTTCTTCCAATGGAAAGCAGTTAGGAGAATTAAGAGAGGTAGAAATGCTTTGACGTTCTTTTTCTCCTACATGTAGGTATGTTTTGATAGCTATGGAGGCACTGGACCAACTTCTCATGGCTTGCCATTCTCAAAGCATTAAGCCATTTGTAGAAAGCTTTCTTCATATGGTGGCAAAGCTGCTGGAATCGGGGGAACCAAAGCTTCAAGTTCTTGGAACGAATTCTGTGAGTAAAACTATTCTGTTGCTAAATTTATGCTTAATTAGCATATCTAGAATTAATTGCTTCTTAGAATGACTTTACCTGGTAAAGACGAATTCCCTGAATAGGGCATTTGAACAGTCAACACAAATTAAGATAATTAGAATACTTTGCCTCTCACTCTTTCTGCTGTTTCTTGTGAAATCTGTGGTATTAACTAATCATGATAGAATATCTGCCTGTAAATGAATGCATACCTGTCATTTTTTTATTTTCTCTTGGTCTTTTATTGCAACACTAACTTTGTGTCCTACATTCCTTTTGAGTTTCATGCCTTTTCATTAATTAAGGTTGTTTACATTTTTATGGCTAGTATGAATAATGCTGCTATGAAGATTTGTGTACCGGTTTTTGTGTGGATGTGTGTTTTTCATTCTCTTGGATATATACTTAGTAGTGTAATTGCTGGGTCATGTAGTAACTGTGTTTAAGTGTTTTCCAAAGTGGTTGCATTATTTTACATTCCCACCACCAACATGTGAGTGTTGTTTCTCCACATCCTCATCAGTACTTGTTATTGTCTATCGTTTTTTATTTTAACCATCCTAGAGGGTCTGAAGTGGTATCTCATTGTGGTTTTGATTTTCATTTCCCTAATGACTAATGGTAAAACTTTACATGTGCTCATTGACTCTTGGGTATATTTTCTTTGGAGAAATGTCTATTCAAATCCTTTCCCTCCTTTTTTCAATCGTCTTTTTATTGTTGAGTTGTAAAAGTTCTTTATATATTCTTGGTAAGAGTTAAATTTATCAGATACATAATTTGCAGATACCTTCTCCAATTCTATGGTTTTGTCTTTTTACTTTCTTCATGGTATGCTTTGAGTCACTAAAGTTTTGATTTTGATGGTGTCCAATTGCTTTTTTTTTTTCCTTTTGTTGTTGGTGTCCATGGGTGTGTATGTGTGTTGGGGGGGTGGACAGGTATGCTTTCAGTTTCATATCTAAGAAACTATTGCCTAATCCAAAATCACAAAGGTTTACTCCTATAGTTTCTTCTAAAGAGTTTTACAGTTTAGGTTTGTATTTAATAATCCATTTTGAGTTAGCTTTTGTATGTGGTATGAATTCAGCATTCAGCTTTATCCACATTTTGCATGTGGATATTTAACTATGCCATTACTATCCGTTGAAAAGGCTATTCTTTTCCTTTGAATGGTCTTGAATGGTCTTTGAATGGTCTTAAAAATAAATTTACCATAGAAGTTAAGGTTTTGTATGTTTATTCTTTTTTAGACTGCTTCTGAACTATTTCTGCTCGCCACATTCATTTTCTTCTATCTTGAACCATTGTCCCTTAAAATAAGTTTGGGGAAAGCATACCTACTTTAAAAAGAAAATACAGTGGTAATATTTATTCTCTTGTCTTTAGTTTCATTGTATCACCTTCAGTCTTTCAGTTCCAACTTCTTCTCTGAGAAGCTTTAAGGCGTTCAACCTACATGAATACTGTATGTTTCCATTCAGAGTTTTAATTAAATAACAATCATATATTACCTGCTATTGTTTATGGATAATTATTTTCTGGTATAGGACAGGAAGAGGAAGTATACGAGGTGCTGACAGTACGGATTCCAGAGTCTGACCACCCCAGTTTGAACTACGCCTGTACCGCTTTCTAACTGTATACCTTGAGCAAGTTATTTATTCTCTCTTTACCTCAGTTTTTCATCTGTGAAATGAGGATAATGAGAATACCAATCTCACAGGATTGTTGTGTGACATGAGTTGATATATATGAAGCTCTTGGAAGAGTGCATAGCACTGTTAGTTATTACTGGTAGCAAGAGCATTAAATAAGCCCTCATTCAAAACTCTTAATATGATTTTTTTTCACTTACTTCAGCAGGAATATATTGGATATTTCCAAATGCATTTAGATGATGTGACAAGCTTAGTTTCAGGCAAGGTAGCTACTTAGGCTTCTCCTGTTTTGTTTACATTAGGTGAGGAACGTTTTGGGGAAGTGGCTTACTAGCTAGGGGGAGAATTTTAGTATACATTTCCAGAAATGTCTTTACTTTCAACCAGCAATGCCATTAGATTGTTTTAATGAGTCGTTTGGGCAAAAGACCAAATTCCCCAGTTACTTACCTTAATTTGAGTGAATTTTATTAAATGAAATGCCATATTATCTTGACCAACATTAATTACCTAGTATTTACTGGTGGTCTAATTTTCTTAGTGGTGCTGAGTGCCTTATGTTGTCGAGCACGACCAGTACTAATTTAAAATTTATTATTGGTCTTCGTACAGTTTAATTTGTTGACATTTTCCTCTTCATGCTAATGCCAACTCAGTATGACAGTAGTAGATGCAATGTATTTCGGTTCTCCTTTGTTTCAAAAACTGTGCTAGATACTTTTTGTTTTTACCTCTGTTTTACTGTAAACTGTTTCAAATATAGAAAAGTGTGGAGCATAATGTAGTATAGTTGTATACCTACTGATTCAAGAAAGAAAAATATTAAATAATATCAATAAATAACATAATTTTTGTTATAAATAGTAATATTGGTAATACATGTTAATGCCATGCAACATTGGTTCATGTTTTTAAAGAAATAATATAGTATATGCTAGATTTTTTACATATATTAATTATGTCATGATTCTCGAAAACCCTTCAAACTTAGAAATACTATTTTCATTTTATAGATGAGGAATTACAGCTAAATAACTTGTCCAAAGACACAGTGAAGTAATGCTGTATATAATAGGGGGATTCAATCTTAGGCCTTTCTTACTTCAAAGCTTGTGTTCTTTGTGCAATGATAAATACATTGTCATTATTATGGATTAAGATTTAGGGAAAGCATAGATTACGTTTCTTCTTTTTTCTTCCTCTTGTTTTCTAAAAGTTTATTATTAAAAAGTTTCTTTTGGATTGGGTGCAGTGGTTCATGCCTTTAATCTGGGTGCTTTGAGAGGCCAAGGCAGGAGGATCATTTGAGGCCAGGAGTTCAAGAGCAGCCTGGGCAACACAGCGAAACCCCCATTGTTACAAAAACAAAATTAAATCAAAAAATTAGACCGGTTTGGTGGTGCATGCCTGTACTCCTGACGCCGTGGGAGGCTGAGGTGGGAGGATTACTTGAGCCTAAGAATTCGAGGCTCACCACTGCACTGCAGCCTGGGCAACAGAGCAAGACCCTATCTCAAGAAAAGAAAGTTTCTTCTGTATTAATGTCATATTTGATATTTTGTTTGTTTCTTATTTTTATATTGCTTGTTAATATGACAGTGTATGAAATTAAATGTATTTGGTCCACACTTTCAAGAAGGTAATATATATTGTTTATATTATTTGTGTTTTTTAGTTTGTCAAATTTGCAAATATTGAAGAAGACACACCTTCCTATCACAGACGTTATGACTTTTTTGTGTCTCGATTCAGTGCCATGTGTCATTCCTGTCATAGTGATCCAGAAATACGAACAGAGTATGTATTATTTTACTTTATGATCTATAGTAAGTAATTTAGAGATGAATATTGTGTTTATATGTTATATAATGATTACCAGAGGAAACAAGAATATGGCTGAAATACGGCTTTCCATTGCTGTTAGAAGCTATAATTACTGACTGAAGTAGCAAAATGAGAATGGCTTTCCAGCTCACTAAAATGCAGTCTCTACTGTTGCCTAGAATGTCTCCTCATGCTCTGCTTACTCTGTCAGATCCTGTCCTTCTATCATTTCTTCCTGCTTGCGCTCTAATCCTGCCACGTGGATCTCCTTGCCATTTCTTGAACACTTTAGTCACACTTCTCCTCAGGCCCTTTGGACACATTGGTCTTGGTGCAAAAAACTATTCTCTAGTGCCCATATGGCTTGTTACCTCACTTTGTTCAGATTTCTGCTCAAATGACACCTTATCACAAGAACCCTCCCCAGCCACCCTTTATTAATGTCACCCCTCTCATTCCATCCCTAGTTATCTTTATCTTTTTATCATGTATCTCTTTGTTTCTTGCTCCTCTATGGAATATAAATTCCAGGAGGGTGAGGACTTTGGTTTGAGGACTGCAGTATTGCCAGTACTTTGAATAGGGCCTGGTACATAGTAGGCTCTCAGTTAGTACTTTTTGAGTGAATAAGTAGATCAGTGGAATGAATATATATTACTGAATCACTATCCATCTGAGGTTGTCATGACAACTATCTTGGACATTTTTAAACATTTCTTCTAGATGTATCCTACTAAAAATCTGGAGTCAAATATTTTATAAACTCAATCTGTAGGTGGATAGAATGAGAAATACAGAAATGAGAAACTGTAAAGTTAAGAATTAAAGTCAAAATGACTTTGGGAAACATAGAAAGTAATTTGAGCATTACTATCTTACATCTAAAAACCAAGAAATCTGCCAGGATTTAAAGTTACTGTGGGCAGTTGATAATCAAGATATAGAATGCTTTATAATTTTTACTTCTATTTTAAAATAAATAAAGAAATGTACAGGAATATAACTAGCTTTTAGTTAAAGCATACAAGCTACAGTGCTGGTTTACATGAAACAAAAATAAGTATAAATGTTATTTTAACTTGGAGAAAGAAAGTTTAAAGGTGATTAAATAGTTATTTTCAGGTATAAGATTTATTTTTGTCTGTGATGCTACTGGTATAATTTTTGCTCAGTAGAGTATAGGCCATTTAGAGTCCTGCTATTATTCCTTTATTACGAAGTGTACAGCCTTCTCAGAGGTGAAAAATACTATAATTACCTTATAAGAATTAGTTTTCTGTTTGTCTCCATCACCAGGAAAATTCTTTTTTCTCTCTCTCAAGGATATTTTTTAAATGTTTATGAGACTGTTCTCTCTCTTGAGAGGCTGATAATAAGTTTTTAATGGAGCAAAAAGATACAAAGATTAGCTAAAGAAAATGGCAATTTTTTCAAGATTTTAACATTTTTGCTTTCTTTCAAAATATAGAAAATATCTGGAATGTGGTATGTTTTTTCTAAATATTTATCATTCCCTAGTGAAATATCTTGTCTTTTGAATATATTTTTACCTGTTTTTCATTACTGCTTCCAAGAAAAACTTTGAAATTTTCTATAAACCAATGAAAGGACTTACAGTACATTTTGCTAATTCTGTGTCTTTCCAATATTATATCATATTTGAAGTTCCATAATACCCACATTTTATTTGAATTCCTGTAAAACAAATGAGTAAACTAAAATGCTATTTAATATAAAATACTTAGTTTGATCATTTTTGCTTTACCTTAAATAAAAGCCCTTTTGATTTTCTTTAAGTATATTTATATTCTGAATTCTAACTTAGATAAATCACTAGTCCCTTTATTTTTTTTACCAAGCTCTAATCAAGTAGAACTCCAGGGGACATGGACAGTAGGAGATGGAGCTGGTAAATATTAGGATTTTCTTATTTTCCTTGAAGAACTGGTTCCCACTTGTAGCATCACAATCTTAATCTCTAACTCTGATTTTCTGAAGAAACTTCAGCTGTGGTAGAAATTACCACCACCACCACCATCGTCATCATCCTCATCATGGTTAGCAGCAAACAGGAACAGCTAACACTGAGTGCTTACTGTGTGCCAATTATTGTTTAACCACTTTACATAAATGAACTCATTTAAATTACTCAACATTTCTATGCTGTAGATGTGGCAGTTGTTCTATTTTACTGATGGGGAAACTATAGAATTCCTTTTGGGGGATCATGGCTAGAATGTGCTGATTAGTCTAGATGTTAGATCTGGATAGGATGAAGCTGTGTAGCTATAGTAGCTATTGGTAGTTACCACCGACACCACCCTTTAACCTTGAACAAGGGCACCACTATCTGCTGCTGCACCATTTAGGCTGCTGTCTCACAAGGCATGATACAAGTTTCATCTTGTTTGTTCATGTGCTCCATGCCACCTTGTGCTTGGCCTTCTCATCACCCAAGGTGTAGCAGCAGGTATGTAAAGCAGGCACCTTTTGTAGCAGTGTTAGCCTTGCCCACTGTAATAGCTGCACGAGAATCTCTCTCATAGATCTTCTTTATGTTTTAAAAACTAGCATGTATAGACACAGCTTTGAAATAGGCAAAATTTGCCTTTGTGTCTTCTAATTCATTTTTCTCACCTGTTCAGTATCATATTACTGCCACCTCCCATTCTCCATCTGCTACTCTTGAATGCCTGCATTATTTTGCCATGGGGATGTAAAGCAATGTCACCTCCCTCCCCATATCTTCTATTATTTAAACCTATTTACTGTTTTTGGAAGTCAATGCTAGGTAAACTGAATAAACATCTAATTGGTGAGTATTTTAGACAGTAGAAAGAAAGGAAGTAAATAGCCATCATATTTGACCGGAAGGAAAATGTTTTGAGACTAACTGGGCCACCAAGTTATCTCTGCTTGAGACTTTGTTCTGTTGCAGTTTTTAGAAACTGTTTACAAGTCACTTTTCTTCTCATTCTTGAATCTATAGATTTTTATTTTCTTTTGCTTTTTTGAAGAAGTATAAGGAAGAGCTTGAGGAGGTTTGGTGATGTGATCTGGGATGGGAGAATAAGGCAGCATTCTCTCACTACTATATTGATACATTTTAAGTCACATCCGATTATTATATGATAATGTATATGTGTTTATAGACACATTTGTATATATATGGCTGAGGTTATCTGTCCTCCATTTCGATAGTTCTTATTTGTAATACCTTTTAAAAGAACCAGCATAGTCTTCTGTCTAGGTGGACTAAGGGAGTTGAAGGGCTGTTAGGGAGGAACAGTGAGAAGTCTGAAGAAGCATGAAGGGTGTTCAGAACAGGGAAATCCTGTTTTCACTCAGCTCTTAAGACTTCTAGGTAAGAAATGGAGTATCATCATCATTTTAAGAAAATCTATGTTGTCGATTTTTTTAAATAGAAAAATAGATATTTCTGTATTTTAGAGTCCTTTTAACTTTTTAAATGCTGATTTTAAGAACATGATATTTAAAGTAAGCCTTTTTGGGGCATATCTCTGTGTCTTTTAAATTTTTGAGATTTACTTTCTTAGATTTGTGTGTTATTTTAAGATATTTTATTGATAAGATAACAGTATTTACTTGATATCCATTCTCTTAGGCAAACAGACTTATTCAAATAATTTTTTTATGGCTCATTTTCTTCCATTTTTTTTTTTTTAATAGGATACGAATTGCTGGAATTAGAGGTATTCAAGGGGTGGTTCGCAAAACGGTTAACGATGAACTTCGGGCCACCATTTGGGAACCTCAGCATATGGATAAGATTGTTCCATCCCTTCTGTTTAACATGCAAAAGATAGAAGAAGTGGACAGGTATTTAAAAAGATACTAGTGTTGAGACTGTGTTACTTTTATGTATATGTATGTGTGTTTGCTAGGATAAGAATGTTTTGTCTTGGGAGGCCGAGACGGGCGGATCACGAGGTCAGGAGATCGAGACCATCCTGGCTAACACGGTGAAACCCCATCTCTACTAAAAAAAAAATACAAAAAACTAGCCGGGCGAGGTGGTGGGCGCCTGTAGTCCCAGCTACTCGGGAGGCTGAGGCAGGAGAATGGCGTGAACCCAGGAGGAGGAGCTTGCAGTGAGCTGAGATCCGGCCACTGCACTCCAGCCTGGGCGACAGAGCGAGACTCCGTCTCAAAAAAAAAAAAAAAAAAAAAAAAGAATGTTTTGTCTTTAGTACTGTGTAAAAAGTAGTCTCATAAAGTTAAATGAGTTTAAAAATATGTACCTTTCTGAAAAAATTTTTAGTCTGCGGTGATCACATTAGGCTTATAGTAGACTATAGAATATTACTCATACACTTAAGCCTTTCTTTTAGAATAAGTTTACAGTTTATTTGCCACTAGTTATTGAATATTCAAATTGCCATTTTAATGAATACTACTTAAAGTTACAAATGTGAGAAACAGAAATTATAACTTTACTTTTGTTAATCTAAAAGATCCAGCATACTTTTGCACAGGGAGTTAGAACTAACAAAAATAATAATGATAATGATAATAATAGCTACCTACACTGTATTTTATATTTTCAAAAAAATGGTTAGACACTGTTCATATTTGATTTGTCCTAAGATATTTTGAAATTGAATATTGTTTTGGGATTTATGCTCTTTTTTTCTTTTTCCTCTACAACATTCACTTGCAGTTAGAATTCTGTACTTTATTCCACTTTTTCAAATACTAGAAGCATGCTTATCCCCCACATTTTTGTTACCATACACAGAGATAATGAGTTAATAAACGAGTAGTAAAATATAATATTTTTAACATTTAATATAAATAATATATTAATAAATATTTCAGAAGCAGTATTCTCCAGTGGCTTATTATCCTGACTTTCCTGGTTCTTGCAGTTTGAGGAGAAAAATTTGAATCAAATTTAAAAGTGATCCAATCTGTAGTTCTAAATTTACATTTTATTTATGATTTTAGTGATTATATGTGTAGTAGCAACATAAAAGTAGTCTAGAAATGATAGGTAGTTGATAACTGTATGGTAACACTTAAACATTGATGTTAATTTACAGTAATTACAGAAAGGATTCATGCTTAATTCCTTAGATGTGACTGTCTCCAGCTTTGGGAACCTTTCCTAAAGTGTGAAAGTTGATGTACTTTAGCACTATCTGTATTTTCCTATTCTTGGCACTGTAGCTGAGGTGAAAGTTTCCTTATCTCAAATATTTACTATTTAAAGGTTCACTAGCTAGTTGGGAACCCATTTTCCGTAATTATGGCTCTTGAGGTCTAGGATTAGCATAAGTAAAATACAAGAAACAGCTCATTAGTTGTCAATTCTTATGTTTTTTTGTGATATAATCCCAGTGCCACATATACATTTTTAGAATTATTATTCATAAATTCATTAGCCTAAAATAATGTTTCAGGATGTGAATAGAATATTGTCTGCTGAAGACAGCTATGTATACAGATATTCTAATTAGCTTTTAAATTTTATTTTTTATTTACAGGCTATGTCATAGTTTTTCACTTTATTTTTGCCCATTTACAGTTAAATTAAGGATACCTAAAGACGGTCTCTGGGCCCTGTGTTCTTACTAAGATTTTGCTATAAATATGGAAAACTTGAATGAAAGTGAATAGCAAGCTGCTGAGTATCAGAGACGTTCTGTTAGAAATAATTTGCACAGCCAAGTTTATTTCTTCAGTTTGAAAGAGTGTGTGATTCATTTTGGTGGTGTTAAATTCATGAAATTAGAATTAAGCTTTATATTTGCTGGAGGATAAAAAGAAAATGCCATTTTAACATTTCTAAAAAGTAAAGTGTATTATTTATTAGAACTAATGTTAAAATTCTTGTGATTTTCTTTATTTCTCATTCTTTTTTAGTCGCATAGGCCCTCCTTCTTCTCCTTCTGCAACTGACAAAGAAGAGAATCCTGCTGTGCTGGCTGAAAACTGTTTCAGAGAACTGCTGGGTCGAGCAACTTTTGGGAATATGAATAATGCTGTTAGACCAGTTTTTGCGTAAGTAGTTTTTCCTGGTTATTTGTGACTTTGCTGTGTTAATTCTGTGTTAACTTATTTATAGAGGACAACTACTTTTTTACTTGCATGAGTGAGTTATTAATGGAACCAGTGTAACATTGTAGAAGTAGTACAGGACTGAGTCATGCATGATATGTTTGAACAGTGGTTCAATTATTTAATTAGCTTTTTCCCTTTAAGTATGAAGTGTAATAATATGTTTAATATCATGGGCATTGTTTAACTTGAGTGTCTACTTACAGACCTTGAAATGCATATGTGCAGTGAAATATTTAAACAAAGTGTCTAAGTATGATGTATCTTCTTCTACTAACTTTCATGGTCAGTTTTTCCTGGTCACTGGCTTCTATTTATTGACTGTCTTTTTGCCATGGCTGGGCTGCCTTAGATCACATTCACATCCCTGAGTAAATTCATCTTTTACATAGTGATTAATCAGAGCAAGAATATTAAATATCTCGTTGGTACTTTCATGCTCTCCTCCCGGCAAAATACGTTAATGAGCTTTGAGTTTCTCCACATAGACATGATCTCTCAAGCCTTGTCAAGCCGTTGTGTTCCTAACTCAGTCACCAGATGATAGATCTACTATAAAATATTCTATGTAATTTCTAGACGTTTCTGCTAGTCTTTCTTTTGTTAAAATTCACCTTGTCCTTTTCTCCTTCTGACTGTAATAGTGGCTTTATAGAACATATACGGTATTCCTAATGTAACATCCAGAGTTCTTTAGGACAGATGGATGTTCGTAGCCTAGTGTTCAAAGTTGAACCTTAGTTACAAGAATCTATAAATCATAAAATTATATTAAAAATTAGAGAATCATTAGATTTTCAAAGGGATCTGTGTTTCCTCCCACCTCCAAAATATTGAGATCCACTGTTTAAATGTTCTGTAAACTTATGGAAATGCTACTAAAAATTAATCAGAATTATGCCAAATGTACCAAGGGCAAGTGTATTTTTTTAATATCCAGCTAGACATGCTGACTTAACATCAGAATTCCATTTTTTTATCTTAATACTCTTAGAACTAATCTATAAGACCTTAAAAATCTAGAGAGCCAGCTTGGAAGAAAGAATTTACTAAATAAGCTGTACTTGAGTTGAATAACATGAACTGAGTTATGTTCTTTTCTACATAGAACTTAAAATTTCTGATCATGTATTAGTTGATTAAATTAATCTTAAGTAAACATGTGATTACACATTAGCCATTTAGTTAATTAAATATTAAATGCCCTCTGCAAACGAGGTGCCAGATATTTTGGGAATATATGCATGAATAACAAATTTGATGGGTGATTGACGTGTATAATATTTATAAAATAATATATGGATTATGAGAAAAGGACAAAAAGTGGTCTAGTAGTTCAAAACAAATAAATCATGTCTAATTTGAGAATTTAGGGCCAGTGTCTTTTTTTTTTTTTTTTTTTTTTTGAGACAGGGTTCGCTCTTGTTTCCCAGGCTGGAGTGCAATGGCATGATCTCGGCTCACCACAACCTCCGCCTCCTGGGTTCCAGCGATTCTCCTGCGTCAGCCTCCCGAGTAGCTGGGATTATAGGCGCGCAACAGCATGCCTGGCTAATTTTGTATTTTTAGTAGAGATGGGGTTTCACCATGTTGTTGAGGCTGGTCTCAAACTCCCAACCTCAGGTGATCCGCCTGCCTTTGCCTCCCATGTGCCGGGATTACAGGCATGAGCCACAGCACCCTGCCAGGGCCAGTATCTTTTAATGTAAATGAAGGTAGTTATCAAAAACTGCTCTGGAAATTGTATTTTATTTGTAAAGAATGCTTTTGTTTGACATTGAAGTAGATTTTTAATTTCAATTATTATTTGATTGAGTTAAGAAAATAAAGGATTTAAAAGAAATTTTGAATATCTTTTTAATCAATAGTAAGTACAAGACACTGATAATGTTGACTGGAGTGTTGGATGTAGTTTAGGGGTTACAGTGACATAAGAGGGAAAATGTTTAGGCTGTACTGTAGAGATCTTAAAATTTTATATTTAAGTTTATAGATAATCAGTGGAGACCTTAGCTCAAAGTATAAAGTGGCTGAAATGTCCCTTTGAGAAAGTTAATCAGATAGGGCTATATAGGACAAATTTGAGCCAGGACCAGTGTGTTAGCAGGTTACTGTAATAAAATTCTTGACAAGTAAATTTGCGAATTCTAAGTAATTGGTAACATGCTTGAAGTGGTAAATAAAGTTTGTTTTTCTGCCTCTTAGCAGATAAATATTGTAGTGGACAATATTTAACTTGACTATTGGGTAAGAGTCCGAAAGATCATGATAATACAGGTCATATTAGCGTTAAAGATTTATTTTATATCTTCTGAGAGTGAAGATGGAAGAATTTGACTCAATTATAAGACAGAAACTACCCAGTTTATCAGATTCAGGTTAACTGTGCATTTGTTTTCTGCATTTTGTTCTATAAATTTTCTGAATGTGTTTGTATCACTGCTTCTGTCCACTTTATTTTAATTAGTGGGTTTCATTTCTGCCTTCTACTCTTCATTCAGGCTTCTTCAGAACAGGTAGCCATGTTCAAATGCTTCTTCGACTGTCTAGAGCCTAGAGCATAGTATAACACATAGTAGACCTTAATAACCATGATGATTCAAGAGGGATTTCAGGTCTTTTGTTTTGTGCCATTTCCATTTTTAATGACCCGAAAAGTAATTATTACTTTCAAGGAAATGAAAGTTAGAAGAAGCAGCACAGATGTTAATATAGGTCATATCAGGATGTGCTGTTTATTAGTTGTATGAACTTGAAAAACTCATTCAACCTCTCTGAGCTCCAATTTTTTCACCTTTGAAAAGATTTGAATGCATGCATTAAGTGGCTTATTTATATATTAAAATAGAAGCTACCACTTATCAAGTGCTGCTGCGCTCTGTGACTCTGCTAACCTTATAAACTTTATCTTACTTAATCTTTTTACCCTATGAAATGGATGTTGTTATCCCCATTTTCCAGGTTAGAGAACTGATCCTTAGAGGAGTCAAGTAACTCGCTCATGGACAAAGACATATAGGTAGAAAATGAAGTCAGAATTCAAATTCTGATCATTTTATTCCTGAACCCATGGTCTAGATTAACCATTAAGGTTGATAATATATGCCTAGCATAAAGTATATTTTCAACAAATGATAGCTATAATAAAGCTGGTTTTGATGCGGAGGGACAATTTTTAAAATTTAATTTTGATATAGTAGTGAGAAGTAGATCTGGCAATCTGTGAATATGATTTAAGGCTGTTCCCCTGGTGTTTTCCAGCCTTATATTTTTCCTTCATTCACCCTCTTTCATTCAGATTTACTTGTTAGTTAAAATTACCCCTTGAGAGAAGTAAATTAATAAATCACAACATTAAAAAAACCAGTGAATCAATAAATATTTGTTGATTAAATGTTCATGAAACTATTTCTGGTCCACAGCATTGCTTTAGAAATAGCTTTAATTGCAACATATATTTCATGAAGTTCATTAATTAAGAATTAAATTGAAATCTTTTCTTTTCGGTAGTATTCTCACTATTAAGCTTTTCCTATTGTTGAGGTTTCTAGAGGAAGAAAGTATAATAAAATAGAGAATTTTAAAGTAATTTTTGTTATTTGCAGGCATTTAGATCATCACAAACTCTGGGATCCCAATGAATTTGCAGTTCACTGCTTTAAAATTATAATGTATTCCATTCAGGTAAGGTTTGATTAACTATTTACTATATATAAGTAATTTTGGTTCTGTATAGATAAGCACATTATCAAACAGATGTGGAAAGCTGTAGGATATAAATCATTCCTCTTAATTTAGCTCTTTTTTCTCATACATTTTCATTTACTACTTATTTTCTTATTTGCTAAGATGAAAAGATAGATCTAATAAGGATAACTAAGTCATTCTGTCATAGTTCCTCTCAGAGCCAAGGCCAACACAGACAAGCTTCTTGACAGTCTCCTGCTATCCCCTGATTCATTGAGGGTGTTGTCTTTTAGGGGTTCTGAATTGTCACAGGGATATCTGATCTCATAGCCTACCTTTCCTGGATGGCCCCTAAGCTTTATATCTAGTCTCCTATGTATACAACCATTTAAATGAGTAGCTTTGAGCACTGGAGAGCTGTAGATGTGCCTGGGACTGCTGCTGGCCTCAGTGTGCACTCACCTTTCCAGATGCTTACCTTCTTGTGGAGTTTAGACTAAGGGACTTTCCTTTCTTGTCGCTTTATCTGGATATCAGAAAGTCTTATATATAGCTGACCCTTGAATGACATGAGTTTCAACTGTGCAGGTTCACTTACAGTATAGGTTTTTTTCCCCAACAAAATGCAGATCGAAAATCTATTATTTGTTGGATTCAAAACTCCACGTATATGGGAGCTGATTTTTTTCCTCACAGGGCCAACTGCAGGATTTGAGTATGTGCAGATTTTGGTGTGGGGTGGGGCTGGAACCTATCCCCAAGTATATCAAGGGATAGCTATAGTCTAGTATTTTACTACTGTGTTATGACAGGGTTTGGCAATTTGGGAAAACATGTGTAATATTTCTGGAAATGGTAGTATATACTAGAATAGAAATTTCTGTTTATTACCATTGTACAATTAAAACTTTGGATAGCTTTGATTGTTTTAATTGCCATTTACCATAAACTTGGTGTAGGTATCACTCTTAGGTAATATTTCACCCTCTCTCCATAAAACAAACTAGCTAGTCTTGACTAGGATTTATATCCTTAAGGGTTTACGTAGACATAGTTTCAAATATAGTAAGGCATTTGTGGTAAAGGGAAAATATTTTACTTAAAGCCTATCTTTTATGCTAAATTTATTTCTTGAGGGTAACAAGATGTGATTAAGAGTTGTACTCTGAGATCAGAGAGAATTCACTTTTAGGCTCTTTCTTAATAGTTTCTTCATGACCTTAGACAAATTACTAAAACGTGCCTTATTTATACTCTGAAGGGCATGGAGTAATTGAGGTGAATCTACCTTCTAGAACTATTTGCGTATATAATACATATAAAGTACTTAGAAGAGTGCCTGCTTCTGGTCACTTCTGAATGAAATACTCTTTTGTCGTCATTGTTGTTATGTTCAATGTTATAGTCATATATGGTGCTCAGGAGTCATATATGGTGCTCAGGAGTCACCAATTGAAAAGTAGTAATAATAACTAATACATATTAAGCATTTTGTCATACAGTAGACACAATTTGGGTGCTTTATACAAATTAACTTATTTAATTGCCCCAGGAATCCTATGAATAATTGTTATTGTTTAAATATTATAGATGAGAGAAACTGAGTTACAGGGAGATTAAATAATGCTCTCTTAATCTGAGAGTTATTTAGCTATTAAATGATAGAGTCAGAATTTGAACTTGGGCGAGTTTGACTCCAGGGCTTATGTACTTAACCACCACTGTATTACGTTGTGTCTTAAAGCAATTCATCTGTTAGCATTGCTTTAAACTTCAGTGTAAGGGCAAATTTTACCATAGATAAATGAAACCTCAGTACTCGTGACTTCAACATACTGTATAACATCTTCGCACTTTCCTTCCTTTCACTCCATATTCTTTTGTTTAATACATGATATCGTTCTTGAGTTGTTCTTTGTAAGTAGAATGAACACATGCCCTGGTTTGCTTAGTGTAGTCATACTTTATAATTATTGACAATACCTCCTTCACTCTCTGCAGTGTCCTCATTTGGACAATAAATCAAATGGCTACTCTTACCTGTAAAGGCAGACTAATAACTGCACAAGGTTCACACATCAGAAGCGTGCAGCTTCCTGGACAAGAAGTTCAGTTTCAGGTTTTGTGTGTGTCTTCCTGCCTAACATTCATCTATTTTAACATAGCTTTAAATGAAAAAAAGTAAAGATGAAAACACAAACTTAGTTTTTACCTTGGGTGGTTTTAAAAGTAAAAGTAGATGTGTATTATGACAAAAATTGAGAAATACCTAGAGATGAAATCTGTTACTTGATAGAGAAGGAGGGAAATTTTTTGCTTTTGAGCAGAGTAGCCATTATGCATAGGGCACTTCTGCTTCTTATCAAACCACACATTCCAAAGGAAAGAAAGTAACCAGCCTGAAAACAGAGTGGGGGGACCTTTCTGAAGGCAAATACAGACAGGGAGATTGAGAGCCACAGGCGCTTTTTATAGCTTGTGCTTGATAGTAGACTGATCCTTACTCATGTGTGTAAGTGTAGGTTTTAAAAAAACAAAACTTTGCTACTCTTCAAAAACAAAAAAATCTATTCACTGGAATTAAAAATAAACATTTTTTTGGCTATCCTTTTTCTGTTTTAGGCCCCAACATCATTTACTACAGTTGATCAGATTTATTTATGTGTGATAAAATTGCCTTTGTTAATTGTACATCTTTTGATATCTCCTTGATTTAAATTTTGTCAGGTACACATCGATAATATTTTCATTTTGACACTAGCTCTTGATTAGGTGAGTGTTTTGACTGTTTAGATTGTTAGGTGTCCATGTTAAATAGTATTTATCTAGTTTGGGTATGGGAAAAATACTGTGAATGTCATAATTTATGTTTTTTACAAAATTTTGTACTATTATCAAATCATAAAAGTGTATAAATGTACTTTGTGAAATTACAGAGAATATAAAGATAATAAAAATTTCTCATAAATCACTTTCTCAGAGGTTGCCAGTGTTAATCTTTTTATATATAATTCTAATTTACTTTTTAAAAACTAGATTGAATTTTATTAAACATAGTATTATGCAGTATGCTTTTTTTCACCCAGAATGTCATAAATATTTTCCAACATCTGTGTTTATTCTTCAAAAGAATGACTTTGTATTGTGGCTATTTATTGTCTCATAACATTACCACCAGTCACTAATTGGACATTTATGTGTCAGGTGGTTTTTTTCAGTCTTAGGAATTCTGCCAAGGTACATGTACTTGTTTATACATCTTTGTACTGTTTTGTCTCCTTCAGGCTCAGTATTCTCACCATGTGATCCAGGAGATTCTAGGACACCTTGATGCTCGTAAAAAAGATGCTCCTCGGGTTCGGGCAGGTATCATTCAGGTTCTGTTAGAGGCTGTTGCCATTGCTGCTAAAGGTTCCATAGGTGAGTGCCAGTAAATAAAATGTGCATTAATCTGGTTCAAAGTGTTCTTTCAGTAATTATAGCAGTGTATGAAGAACTCTTTAAGAATATGTCTATATGTTTTTAGATGTACAATAATTTTTTCTTTTTGAAATTTGGGTTTGTGCAATTATTTTCAGGCTTCTTTAGTGCACAGTTAAGTATTTTCCTCCACATCAATTCCTCCTCCCTTTCCTTCTTCAAGGATACTCAAGGTTTTTGAGTATTCACTATATACTGAACATTGGGAGAATGCAGAGACAAGAAACTGATAGTGTACTTGTGATTTGACAGCTCCACCTAATACTGTAATATGTGGCAAGCTTTGATCACATATCACAAAAAAAGCCAGGGTTTATAGAAGGGAGGGAAAATGGATTAGCATGAGCAAAATTTTATGTGGTCCTTTTTGGGTAGAATGTATGGTATTAGTTTAGAAATCAGAGAAGTGGCTTTAAAATTTAAGTCGTAGCCAAATTGTGGACATATTCCTTTAGCTGATTAATAGTCCTTAAAGATTTAATCTTCATGAGAAATGTGCTATAGGATAATTTTTCTGGCAGCAAAATGTAGGGCACATTAGAAATAACGAGTTAGTGTCATTGTATCCATGAGGGAAAGAACTTGCCCTTGCATGGAAGCAGCAGGAATAACAATGTCAGGTTGACAGGATTTGATAATGGGTTAATGAGAAGAAGGGGTAGTTCAAAACTTATGATACTATACCTACATGTAACTACAAAAATGGAATAGTGCATATTAGAAATACAGAAGTTTGAAGGAGAATCTGGTTAGGGTTTCTTTGCTTGAAACACAAAGTGGAACTATATTATGTAATGATATAGTCATCCCTCGGTATCTGCAGGGGATTGGTTTAAGGTCCCCTGAGAATGCCTAACTCTGCGGGTACTCAAGTTCTGTGTATAAAATGGTGTAGTGTTTGCATATAACCTAGGCGCACCCTCCCATATACTTCACATCATCTTTAGATTACTTACAATACCTGCTGCAGTGTAAATGCTATGTGAATAGTTGTTACACTGTATTGCTTTTTTATTTATTTATTTTTTTATCGTGGGTTTTTTTTTTCCGGAATATTTTCAGCCCATAGTTGGTTGAATCTGTGAATCCAGAAGCGCAGATATGGAGGACCAACTGTATTCTTTTGTTCTTTTATTGTCAAATAAAGGTGGGCATCTTGGATATGAATTTTCTATTTTATCTTGTAACTTAGAGAGATAAAACAGGTTATTTAATTGGAAAGTTATTTAATTGGAAATATGAAATAAAACATAGATGATACATTGAATCATCACATTGATTAATGTCTACTGTGTGTTAGGTACCGTGTGCTAGGCTCTAAACATTTGAAGAGGCATTTAAACATGGCTACCTGTCCTGAGGAAGCTTGAATCAAGAGTAAAAGGCAGAAATGAAACCCACTCATTAAAATAAAGTGGACAGAAGCAGTGATAGAAACACATGCAGAGAATTTATAGAACAAAAAGCAAGAGAACAAATGCAGTTAACCTGAATCTAATAAATTAGGTAGTTTCTGTCTCATAATTGAGGCATATTCTCCCTTCCTCAGTCTCAAAAGATACAAAATAAATATTTGATGCTTCTGTGAGCTATATTATATAATTTCGTGGATTCTTACCCAGCGGTTAAGTTAAATATTGTCCTAGTACACATTATTGTGAACAGATAAGATTAAATAGGTAGAAAGTTTTTGGTAATTCTTGTATGCACATACACATTTTTTAAGGGTGGAACCAGAGATTCAAACAGTGAGTTGCTCATAAATGCCCAGTGTTTGTTGGTATAATGAGGGGGCTTTCTTAATTATTTCTCATTTACTCTTTTTTAAAAAAATGAAATAGTTAATAAATTACTATGGATTTTTGACTAGAAAATTACAAAAACAATCTGTGAAGAAATAAGATAATTGACTTCAAATATGCAATAGTAGAAACATGTATCTTCTCACATAAGTGATCCTTTATAGGTCCAACAGTGCTGGAAGTCTTCAACACCCTTTTGAAACATCTGCGTCTCAGTGTTGAATTCGAAGCAAATGATTTACAGGGGGGATCTGTAGGCAGTGTCAACTTAAACACCAGTTCCAAAGACAATGATGAGAAGATTGTGCAGAATGCTATCATCCAAACAATAGGTGAGTACATTTCACTTTTCAAAACTGTCATATAAAACAGTGATAGACAAAGCTCTCACATAAAGTCCTGGACTATTATAGTACATTTGTCAAAGATGAATGATAGCTTAAACTTCTGAACACTTTATTTTTGAAAATAAGCAAGCATGACAATGGAACAAAGAACACTATGTTGTTCCATTAAATCTGCAGGACACGAATTCATCTACTGTTAACATTTTATGGCATTTACTTCTTCATTTGCTTTTACTCTGTCTTTCCTGCATCTCTTCCTCCCTTCTCTCTCTCCCTCTCTGTTTCTTTCTCTCCCTATGTGTGTCTCTTTGTGTATGTATGTATATGTGGGAATACACACATACACATGCGTATTTTTTTCTAAACCATGAGATACTGGAAGTTGCATACATCGTGGCCTATTACTACTACATACTTTGGTGTATTTTTCCAAAAAATAAATGTATTTTTTAATATAACCAGAGTTAAATTGTCAATATCACTAAATTTAACATTGATCCAGTACTTGAATCAACTCTTCCTATTTCAGTTTTATCAGTTGACCCAATAATGTACTATATTGACTTTTTTCCTTGAGTCCAAGATTCAGTCTAGGATCATATATTGCATTTAGTTGTAATATTTATTTAAGTCCATTAGTCAGGAACATTTCCATTATGACATGGACATTTCTTAAGAGTAAAGTCCCCCCCCACTTTTATAAAAATAGAAAGTTCTTCATTTGGTTTTGTAATGGTGTTTCCTTGTGATTAAATTCAAGTTAAATATTCCTAGCTGGAATACTACGTACGTTATATGTTCTTCTCAGATTAGCACATCCAGAGGTACACACTGTAACTTGCTCCTTTTTCGTTAAATTAATTTTGATCACTTAAGGCATTATTATATTCCTCCACTGTATGGTTTTAGTTTTTTCCATTGTAAATAATAAGCAACCTCTGAAAAGGCACTTTCCGACCATGGGGATATTCTGCTTTTCATCCAGACTTAAGGTTAGATTTAGCATTCGTTCATAATTCTTGTCTGAATTAGTCTTTACCATGATGGCTGCAAAATGATGGTTTTTAAACTCTAGCACTCCTTCCAAAACTATCAGTTGCCTCTCAATGTTCTATTGTAAGCAGGAGCCCCCTTTTCTACCTTTCTATGTATGTCAGAATGCATGTATTTGTTTATTGGTATGAACTCAATGGATTTGTATTTTCATGGTTTATAATTCATTACTATAGTTAATCATTTTGATGCTCAGATTGTCCCTGATTTGGCTCATGGGAGCTCCTTCAAGACATCCCCCAACCCCCCTGAACCTTTTTTTTTTTTTTTTTAAACACTGCCTTACTTGGGTAAGCTGTTCCAGATGAATTCTATACTTTCTGCCCCAGCCCTGGAATTAGTCATTTCTCCAAAGGAGCTGTGGTTGCTTTTAGTGGGTAATAGTATTAGAGACTAATATCTGGATGCTAATATCTTGGACTTTAATATCATATGCTTTTCTTTCTTTTTTAAATTTTCTTTTTTGTTTTTGTCCTGACGATGGTCAAAGTACAAAGAGTGAAGAGCTTCCTTAAGAAAACAGCCATGAGAATTTACATTTCTGGAAATGAAATAATCTGACTGTGTATAAATACCAATTCAAGCAAGCAAGCTATTTTTCTACTTTAACCTTTTTCTTTCAGTATTTTCTTCAGGATAGCCAGATCATATTTTAATATAACCCCCTTTTTGCTATGATAATTTCACAATTGTATTCCTGGGGTTTAGTACCTAATTTCTAACCTAATAATAGTTTCAATTAATAGTAGAGTCGTATATAAATTTCTTCTGAAACTAGGCTTATGCCTTTTATCTGGGTAAGTTTTTCACTTGTGGGCTACTTACTTATAATAATCCTTTGGGATACTTAATACAGACTTTCTCTTGGTCATCTTGTTTTTAAAGTTTTATGGATATGCATACATGGATTGTGCATCTCCACTGACACCACCTATTTATTTATTGGACATATGCGTACACCATTTCTTGTACTAGGGCCTCATGATACATAGGGCTCTCACGTTGTGGAGGCATTTGTTGATCTGCTTGGAGTGGTACCTCTGTTTCATCTAGTTGCCATCTCATCACATGTCTAGAAATTGTGCTCATTCAGGAAAATACCCAGGAGTGTCTCATTCAACACACTAACACAGAGTAGGCACTTAAGATTTTGAGACTGACTGAAAAGACAAAATGTAATAAACTCCAGCATTACCATGGAGTCATAATAAAGCATAGACATTCTAGTTATTGCTTAAAACAATTAGTATTAATGTATAGTGAACCTCGCTTCTGTGGTGACTTTTACATTTATTTGGGTTATTTATAGATTTTTTGTGATATTTGAGGATGTTGAATCAGCTAATCTTGATTTCACAGAATCGATTTAAATTGCTTTAATGACTTCTAATTAATTCAGTGTTACTGTTTCACTCTAGAATATTTAATGTATTGTTTCTTAAGTGTTTTATTATAAAGCGTATATACAGAAGACTCAAGCCATATTTCTGTGATACAACACATTCAGAATAACATGTAAGAATTTTAAAAAGAGAGGAAAGAAATGCAGTGTGGCACAGTAAGATTTCTCTTTTAAAATCAAACTTTAACAAAAATCTGGTTTCTTTAATAGTTTCCTTTTTAATTTCTCAGTATTCTGGCAGTTGTCAGATCATGTGGTTATTCCTGTCGGTGGGCCATGAAACAGGGCTGCTGTAGCTTTTGCACTTCCAAGTTATCAGCCTGTTCGCCAACTCCTCTTTCTTTTAAAATAGTGAAGAACATAGCTACCTGCTGTGTTCTTTTCTTCTGGACTCATTTCTGTTGAGTAGTTCAAATACAAACAGTAGGTATAGAGAATGAGATGCTTTTGGTGACTCTCTGTCCTTAGAGCTAGTCATATTGAAGACTCCTACCCAATTTTAAGTTAAAAAAATAAAGCAATTCTAAAGCATACATTAGTTGCATTTCTTTCCTACTGTTGCTATTTTTAGGTCTTTAATAGTCTTGTGTCTAATTAACATCAGATATAGTGGACTCAGTTGACCGTATGCTTGGGAGACAAAAATAAGAGTTTTTCCTTAGGACAGTGGTTCTTAACTTTGTTGCACATTGAAATTACCTCAGGATCTTAGAAAAGCACTGATGCTTGGACTTCTGAAACCCCCAGATATTCTGACTTAATTACTTTGGTATGTAGCCTATGCATCAGCATGTTAAAAGCTCCCCGAGGTAATTCTAATGTGCAGCAAAGCTTGGGAACCACTGAATTAGAGAATACTATTCCACACATTTGAAAAGCATGAAAAATGACCTTGAATCAGAGATACAAATGTTGTTGAATACAGGGAAGTATGATAGTGCTTGTTAACTCCAAACTTTTACTGTAGTTAGGTGCTGTGGTAAAGAGAACTGCAGGGTACTTTATGTCCTTGTGGTAATAAGTAACTTGTTTGAAACAGAAGGTTCAGTGTCCAGTTTTCTGCAAGACTAGGAATGTATCTAGTTGTATGGAAGAATTATAGAATAATAATAATAGCGTAGGCTTTGGAAATAAATAACCTTTATCTCAGGCCCTAATGTTAGCTGTGTAATTTTTTTGGTAAAAGTTCTTAACTTCTCTAATCCTCATTTCCACAAGAGGAAACTGAGACAAATAAGAGAACCTAGACTCATAAGGTTATTTTGAGGATCCAAGTACAAAATAATTTCTTATTTCATAAATATGTATTCTATAAGTGTTAACTACAGTAATATACTTTATGGAGATGGAGTCATGTTAAGGTTATGAGATTTTTGACTGCTAATGTACGTGGTTGTGGGAAATGACTTTTACCCCTAGGTCCAATCAAAATGATGAATAGAACAATTCGAATTTGTATAAACAGATCATTAACTCCAGTAATAGAAGCTGAACAGTTACATTGAAAAGTCAGCTTATTCTTAAAAAATATTAAAGATGGATGGCGGGAACCCGGGAGGCGGAGCTTGCAGTGAGCTGAGATCCGGCCACTGCACTCTAGCCTGGGGGACAGAGCGAGACTCCGTCTCAAAAAAAAAAAAAAAAAAAAAAAAAATATTAAAGATGCAGAAAGTTTCTGTAATGACGACATTGAGTTTTAAGAAAGGAACATAACAGCCATGATTTGATAGTCTGTTCCAGTCTTTCAAAGAAATAAGAAACTTTTAAAGTGTGAGTAAATAATTAAAGGTTATAAATCTTTTGTGACCAGGAAGTATCAAAAGCTACAGCAGATAAATTTAAAATATTCTCAGAAACTAGACTGCATAAGAAAAATGACAAGTAAGTTATTTACTTATTTTTTACATCAGTTGAATTATGTATGTTGAATTAATTCACAGGGTTTGTAAACTATAAATTTGGCTTATTATAATGACATTCAGATATTTGAGCAATCCTGGAAAACCAGAGTAGTGACTAATTATTGACTTCTTTACCAATGTGTGGCCTGATTACTGGAACAAAAATTTTGGGTCACAATGTGTGAACTAGAGTTTCATCAGAAATACTACCAAAATATTTTTCCTGTCTTTTTTTTTTTTTTTTTTTTTTTTGAGGCAGAGTTTCGCTCTTGTTGCCCAGGAGGCTGGAGTGCAGTGATGCGATCTTGGCTCACCACAACCTCCACATCCCAGTTTCAAGCAATTCTCCTGCCTCAACCTCCTGAGTAGCTGAGATTACAGGCATGTGCCACCACACCTGCCTAATTTTGTGTTTTTAGTAGAGATGGGGTTTCACCGTGTTGGTCAGGCTGGTCTCGAACTCCCGACCTCAGGTGATCCACCCACCTCAGCCTCCCAAAGTATTGGGATTACAAGTGTGAGCCATCACACCCGGGCAATATTTTTCCTTTTTCTAAAACTCCAGTCAACTCAAGTCAGTGCTGGTTTGTCACTGTTATATAAAAAAGACTTTGATAAATTTATCATTTTATCTATCAGTCCATTATACACAGTTTATATTGTACCTAACTAAATGATTTTGTGCAAATGAAATTGTAATATTCTTTAATGTTACATGTAGCATACAGACTTGTCAGTGATTATTTTGCCACATGTTGAAAACTTTGGCTAAAAATAATTTTGTATTATATGGAAAAGTAGACTTTTTCAGTTTCTAAAATTTATCTTAATACTTTCATAGGATTTTTTGGAAGTAACCTACCAGATTATCAGAGGTCAGAAATCATGATGTTCATTATGGGGAAAGTACCTGTTTTTGGAACATCTACCCATACTTTGGATATCAGTCAACTAGGGTATGTTCTCAGACTGTAAATTTGAACTTAATCTTGAATTACATTTTATCCTAATGAAATCTAGAAAATGTTTAAGTTTTGTGTTTTTAAAAATCATTAGTAATAAAATTCCTATGGAAAACAGTTAGTAGTATTATGACAGTAGATTGCTAAGCAATTGAATTAACATTTTTAGGCCTTTAGAGTCATTTTCAGCTTATAAATTCTCAGATTTTTCCATCTTTAGAAATTGTTTGGCCTGGACATTGTGTGTGTGTGTGCATACACCTTCATGGTTAAGCTTCAAGTTTCCTGTATAAATTTTAAAAATTAATGTCAGTATATCAGAAATAGTGGCTTATTCCTAGAATTTTAGAACTGAAAGTGATTTTAAAGATTATGTGCTCTGACCCCCTTATTTTATACATTTTATTTGGTTTTATAACATGCTAAAGTTTTTGTTTGTGAATGTTTTTTTTTTTAATTTAATAAGAAAGTAATAGTATCTTGTTCGACTTACATTTCTTTGACCATTAATTTGTTATTTTTTAAAATTATTCTTACCTGTTTATTCATATTTGTTAAAGAGAGATTACACTCATCAGCTATGTTTGTAGTAATTATTTTCTCCAATGTAAAATGTCTTTTAATTTGGGTTGTTTAGTTGTCTGTTTATATGATTAAATTTTCTTATCATCACACGCATAGGACTGTTTTGAGAGCCAATAGCAGATTTTTTAGTTTGATATTTTTAAAGATAATAGTTTTAATTCACATGAATTTTACTTTGGTATGTAAAGTGAGCCGTGACTTAAAACTGTTATAAAATCTATTTAGCCAATAAGAATAGAATTTTAAAATCAGTAATTGGAGTAAATGAAGTAATATAAATGCTAATTAGTATAATAATTCCAGCTTTTTGTATATTTTAGGGATTTAGGAACCAGGAGGATTCAGATAATGTTGCTGAGATCTTTGCTTATGGTAAGGCATTTAAGATAAATAAAGGACACACTTAACCTTAAATTACTGTAAGCATTAATTGAATAGCTTCATGTTACAACCTTTCTTTTCTTAAGTAAGTTACTGTTTATGGTTAGTATTTTATTATGTTCTTCATTTTAAAGATTATCCTATAAAAAATATATTTATTTCTCACTTCTTCTGTCATTGTGTTTGATCTTCATAATGATGAAACATACAGAGGACAGAAACTATTGCCGTCTTATAGATGAGATACCTGGGCTCAGAGACTGTGAGCAGAAGGAGTTGATGAGGTCCACCAAAGTCGCTGGGCTGAAAAACAGAACTCAGATTTGAAATCCAAAGTTCTTTCAACATATTATGCTAATTCTTTCTCATACTGACCAAATAATTGCTTCTGATTGGGAAAATAATTCATTAAAATGAATATTTGCCATTTAAAATTTGAAGTGGCTATCAATAGCTGAAAAGGAAAAGTATACCCAGAATGAAAGGTCGTCTGATTATTTTCTAGCAATTGTACTCACATTTGATTCAACCATTGCTAGCACATATGTATCCTTTCGAAATCAGTATCTTTTAGATTTATCCTAGAAGTGTTTACTATACATGATCTCATTTTTTAAACGGACTGTCTCATACCTAAGTGCAGAAATACCTCATATGGTTTTATTTTTAATTCTTTTTAATTCTGTTTATGGCCCTTATCATATAGAAGTTTTGAATTCTAATATAGCCAGATTTATCAGTTTGTTCTATATGTTTTGTACTTTTTCATTTGTATCTTATATAAGAACTCCATTCCTCCTCTGATGATGTAAACGCTTTTGTTTGTATTTTCTTATAGCAGTTTTAAAATTTTAGCTCTCTATATTTAGAACTTTAATCTGAAGTTTATGTTTATATGTGGTATGATTTTCCCGGATGGGTAGACAGGTGTCCCACTGGTTTCCCAGCTGACTTATAAAACTACTTCCATCCTATAATAAATGCCCGAATGTAAATGTTAAGTATTCCATATATGTTTATAATCATGTAAATATGTTGAGATCTCCCACCTGCAATTTAATTTGATCCTAAGCCTTTATTTATATTAGACAAATTTGCTAAGTAAATTATTTTGCCTCCCATCCTGATTATACCATATAGTCAACTGAATAAATATCTATGTGGTATGCTTAAAATGTTTAATAGCAGCTGGGCACAGTGGCTCACGCCTGTAATCCCAGCACTTTGGGAGGCCGAGGCAGGTGGATCACGAGGTCAGGAGATCGAGACCATCCTGGCTAACACGGTGAAACCCCGTCTCTACTAAAAATAAAAAAATGAGCCTGGCGTGGTGGCAGGCACCTGTAGTCCCAGCTACTCGGGAGGCCGAGGCGGGAGAATGGCATGAACCCGGAAGGTAGAGCTTGCAGTGAGCAGAGACCCCACACCACTGCACTCTAGCCTGGGTGACAGAGCGAGACTCCATCTCAAAAAAAAAAAAAAAAAGTCAATCAGGTAACTAAGTACAACTTCCCAAAATGAAAATGTATTCCCATTAACCAACTGCCTAATTTAAAATGAGAGAATAATTTACAAACTTAAATTTAAAATTTGCAGGTCTTTCTTTTACTGTTTGTCACCTAAGCTCCTTATATCTCTTTCGTACTAACCTTAACTTCTCTGAGCCTCAGTTTCTCCTTATGAATGAGATTCGCTAGGGTCTACCTTACAGGGATATGGTGAGGACAGTTAATACATATGCAGTGCTTAGAATCATGCCTAACACATGGTAAACGTATGCTGTTATTAACTTTATTCTCATTATGAATGATGTTTTTGTAAATTCAGCAAAATCGTACATTACTTTTTTTTTTTTTTTTTTTTTTTTGAGACGGAGTCTCGCTCTGTCGCCCCGGCTGGAGTAAGTTGGCGCGATCTCGGCTCACTGCAAGCTCCGCCTCCCAGGTTCACGCCATGCTCCTGCCTCAGCCTCCCAAGTAGCTGGTACTACAGGCGCCCACCACCATGCCTGGCTAATTTTTTTTTTTGTATTTTTTAGTAGAGACAGAGTTTCACCGTGTTAGCCAGGATGGTCTCCATCTCCTGATCTCATGATCCACCCTCCTCGGCCTCCCAAAGTGCCGGGATTACAAGCGTGAGCCACCACGCCCAGCCAAAATCCTTCATTACTTTGCACATTTCCTTTATGTCTTCTCTGCAGGCTTCTGTCCATATTTTCTTTCCTAAGTTTATGGTTCTTATAAAACAATATGAGAATTTTACAAAAAAAAAGGACTCCTGACAAAATTGTTTGTTTTCTTCCCGATAATCAGGTGACCTCTGGATACAAAGCAAAGACGATTGTTACTGCACTGCCAGGGTCTTTCCTGGATCCTTTGTTATCACCATCTCTCATGGAAGACTATGAACTGAGACAGTTGGTCTTGGAAGTAATGCATAATCTCATGGATCGCCATGACAATAGGGCAAAGCTTCGAGGGATCAGGTAATATGCCATTTTGAAATGGATCTAATGATAATGTTTTTAAATTGCTAAATTAGTGTATTTAAGTATTGTGATTTTTAAAAATCTAGCATGTTCAGGTTTTATTAATCCAGAATTTTATTTAATTGGCATTGAGATAATTTAATCAATATATTTTAAGATAGCAAATTTTTGGAGAGCACATATGTACTCTTCAGAAGCAATTCAGTAGTATTACATACAGGCTTATCAAACTCTTAAGTGTAAATACAATTTTCCATATAAGATGTGATATTGTAAATAAATGTGCTATTCATTAAAAATGATATATTGATTGTCTCTAGAATAATACCGGATGTAGCTGACCTAAAGATAAAAAGAGAAAAAATTTGTAGACAAGACACAAGTTTCATGAAAAAGGTAAGACATCTTCTAAAAAAAAAAAATGCGTAGTGTAAATTACAGCCATTTGAATTGTTAGGTGGTTTTGTATTGATCTGTGACCTTGAAATGAAGCCATAGAATTTTGAAATTGAAAGACCTCAAGATGCCATCTTCAACCTCCCTCAAGTATAACATTCCTGGTGGTGTCTCCTCCAGCCTGTATTTGAACATTGTATTGTTGGGCTGCTGTAGTAGTTCTTAATTTCTTCTCTGAGTAAAACGTCTTCCTATAATTCTTGCCCTGGCAATCCTCTCCCACTGAAAAACATAGATACTGATTCCTCTTTTAGCAGCTCTTTTGTAGACAGCTTCAAGTTTCTGAAAATACCTGTTACCATTGAATAAATTAACTGTGGTGAGTTTTTATTGTCTATTAGGCATTGTTTTCTACACTATTTGGGATATAAAGATGAGTTGGGCAGGATCTCTGCCCCTAATAGTGGTTTTTGCTGGATTTTCATGATGATAATTTAAATTCTGTAGGTCTACTGGCAAATGGCTGAATTTAGAAAATTATGATATTTATGGTTATTTGCATATTGAGTAAACTTTCTTTGCAGTTATTATTCGTCCAAAGCTTGGGCACCTAATATTTGCCAGACACTTAGTCAACATTGAGAGATATGATAACCATGACACTGCCAGCTGCCCTTATAACAACACAGTATTGCCAGCTAAGGGAGCCTGTTTTTAGAGGTATGAGGAACAGGAGACAGCCCCATAGGAAGCTAGGTGCAGAGACCTGTAATCCATGTTCTTTTTTGCCTCTTTACTAGCCCATGCTTTCTCCCTGACACCATCTTTAGTGTTACTATCTGTACCTATACTATTGATTGCTGTGTTTCAAGTTAACTCCTTTTTAAAACTTCATTTAAAAAATAATTTACAAAATATCACCGTTCCTAAATTAATGTGATTCACTGAATAAAATATTTAAGTGAGGTTGGCCAGGCATGGTGGCTCACACCTGTAATCCCAGCACTTTGGGAGGCCGAGGTGGGTGGATCATGAGGTCAGGAGATTGGGACCATCCTGGCTAACACAGTGAAACTTCGTCTCTACTAAAAATACAGAAAAAAAAAAAAAAAGCCGGGCGTGGTGGCGGGCGCCTGTAGTCCCAGCTGCTCTGGAGGCTGAGGCAGGAGAATGGCGTGAATCCTGGAGGTGGAACTTGCAGTGAGCCGAGATTGCGCCACTGTACTCCAGACTGGGTGACAGAGCGAGACTCTGTCTCAAAAAAAAAAAAAAAATTTAAGTGAGGCTATACTGTATATCAAAAACTGGTTAAAGTAGGACAGATACATTAATTCTTCTCAATTTTTAGTTTTTATTTCTTTATATCACCTAACTAATGAAAGAAGTTATTCTGCATAACTGAGGAACTTCAAACAATTTTTTAAAATTTTTTTTTTTTTTTTTTTTTGAGACAGAGTCTTGCTCTGTCGCCCAGGCTGGAGTGCAGTGGCCGGATCTCAGCTCACTGCAAGCTCCGCCTCCCGGGTTCCCGCCATTCTCCTGCCTCAGCCTCCCGAGTAGCTGGGACTACAGGCGCCGCCACCTCGCCCGGCTAGTTTTTTTGTAGTTTTAGTAGAGACGGGGTTTCACCGTGTTAGCCAGGATGGTCTCGATCTTCTGACCTCGTGATCCGCCCGTCTCGGCCTCCCAAAGTGCTGGGATTACAGGCTTGAGCCACCGCGCCCGGCCTTTAAAATATTTTTTATTGACAAATTATAAATATACATTTATGGGATACAATGTGGTGTCTTGATTATATGTATACTATGTGGAAAGTTTAAATCCAGCTAATTAACATATCCATTTTCTTGCTTACCTATCTTTTTTTATGGTGACATATTTGAAATTTACTCTCAGTTATTTTCAAATATACAATACACTGTTATTGACTATACTCACCCTGCTGTGCAACAGATCTCAAAACTTAACTCCTTCTATCTGTCTGAAACCTTGTAACCTTTGATCAATAATCTCTCCATTACCCTCCTCCTTGCTCTCAGGCCCCCGCTCTTGCTAACCACCATTCTCTACTTCTGTGGGTTCAACTTTTTTAGATTCCATATACAAGTGAGATTATGCAGTATTTCTTGGGACTGACTTGTTTGACTTAGCATAACGTCCTCCAGGTTCATCCATGTTGTCACAAATGAAAGGATTTTCTTCGAGTATAAGGCTGAATAGTATTTCATTGTGTGTGTGTGTGTGTGTATGTGTGTGTGTATATATATATATACACACACTACATTTTCTTTATCCATTCATCTGTTGATGGACACAGGCTGATTCCATACTGAGAAATTTTTAATCATTACTGATATAATGAAATTTGAAAACACTTTTTTTCCTTTGTCAAAATTTTATTTTTATAATTTGACACCATTTTTCATTTACCTTCCAATTTGTTTTATCAGTAAAAATGTTGTTTGATTTCCATATGAAAACTAGCAACTGAGAGAAGTTTCTGCAGAGAACTAAAGAAAAAAAAATGGGTTCTGTAGCCACAGGATAATGGAATGGCCTTTAGTTAAGAGAATCTTAGTTTAGCATAGACAGTATATTTTCTGTGTTAACATTGTTTGTTCAGGCAACTGTGTCTGAGATTACTACCCAGCCTAAAACGACTCCATCTGAATGTTTTAGGGACATCTTATATACGGAGTCTGTTTGAAAAATGGTTCCAGGGCTGGAATCCCTTATACATTGGGAGGTATCACTTCACCTGTAATTTCCTAATGAAGTGTATTCTTCCAGAGAAAACAGCAGCCACCACTGAGTCTGCAACTCAGTATATAGTATATAGTTTCTCACCATGTGAAAGGGCTCTTGTTAATGTTTCACCAAATCTAGGAGTTATGTAGAAAAGAGTACTTTTTATTATGAAATATAAAATATACGGAAATTATTACTTTAATTGTTTTAAGGTGAACAACAGTATAAACAAAAACATCCCACATGTTCTGTCTTCTTCATAACTCCATCCTCTCTCCTACAAGTAATCACTATCATTGCTCTGACTTTGATGGAAATTGACTCCTTCGAGTTTTTTTTTTACAGTTTGATAACCTAATATACATTATGTCCTTGAACTATATTGTTTAGTTTTGCCAGTTTTTGTTATTTGGGTGAAAGGAACCATACATGGTGTATTCTTTTTAGTTTTTTTTATTCAGCTCTATTTTGGTAAAATTCATCCGTGTGTGGCTTTAATAGTATTCCATGATATGAATATACCACAAGTTTTCATTTGTTGGCACACATTTGAATTGTTTCCAGTTAGTGAGTGTTATGAACTGTGCTCCTGTGAACATGCTCGTACATGTGTTATGCTGTGTATTATAACTCCCATTTCTCCAAGGCCTGTAGGAGAGGAATTGCTGAGTAATAGGTTATGTATTTTTCAGATTCACTGGATAATGCCATACAATTTGTAAAGTCATTATACCTATTTGTATTTTTACATTACATATTACAAATTTTTTATTTCATCTAATATGGTATGTAGTAGGTAATTTTTAAAAACAAACTTATTACTTAAGGAACCTGAAGTCTAAATTCTCACATATGTATGCACCACTTTAATATTTGTTAGTGATGTTTAGAACCATAGAATTCAAGAATATTCTTAGGTTTTGAGAGGACCCAATACATAAAGTTTTCTTTTCCCCACCCAAGTATAGAAACCGTATGTGTTTGAGAGAGAGAAAGAATGAGAGAGACAAACTCTGGATTCAGAAAGGTGGAAACCAAAATAACAACTTCAGAAATAAAGGAATCTGGAGGGTAGCTTTATATCTGTAGCCAAAAATGGCTTACTAACACTGTACCACAGATTTATGCAGACTTAACCAGTCAGTCATTGTCACAGCTGGAGAACTACAGGCCACCTTACTGAGATGGGACCTTAGTGCATATTAAATAGAGAACAGAGCAGAATGCATACTTGTTACAGGCAGGCTGGCTTCAGAAGAGTCTGTGCTGCTCTTGCCCAGTTTCTTTTCCTAAAATGATCCAAAGAACCTTCTGAGAAACAGACTTGGAATATTAAGCCTGAAGTCTCTCCACATGGGAAAAATGAGTGTTCTTAACCCTGCCTGCACATTATAACCACATGGGTAGCTTTATACTTGAAAAATACTGATACTCTGCCACTGACCAGTTACATGATATTGGAGGAGGGTGGACAGTAGTGAGAAGTGGGGAGGGCAAGAGCATGGTGGTCATTCCAGTTGTCCAGTGATTCCAGTGGACAGTTAGGGTTGAGAGCTAATTGAGTTAATGTCGCCACTATGACTGGAAATGATGTTGCACCTATATCCAGGAATGCTTTAGAAAGGAAAGGCTTTAATAATCTTTTATTATAATAATAAATAATAAATCTTTATTGTAATTATCTTTACTTAGATCAGTCTAGTTTAGGGGAAGCCTCTATGCAATACCTGGGGAGTTTCTGTAACCTCTTCCCTGTTAATAGGCTTTAGACTTGCCTTCAGAGACTCCATGCCAAAATGTAACAGAACCTGCAGATGCTCTTCTCTATACGGCTAACCCACAGTACAGGGCTTGTTCCCCAGTCAAGAGAGCCTGAGTACATTTCCTCTCAGCACAATATTCTTTATCATTGCTGAGGCTGTATTGCCAAAGTATCTCTCAGGATTCTGCCATCCATTTCACTTTTTTTCTCAAGTCAATCCATAATTTGCTTTTGTTTTTTCAAATTACTATTAAAAAACATTTTCATCAGTAGCACAGGAACTATTTTTTACTGATTGTTTTTATTTAAGGTTTGTCTTCAATTTTAACGTTAGCTTGTAGTTATATATTAGCATGTTGACTGATATTAATAATTGGAATTCGACCATCTGATCATCAATTTAAATTTCATTTCCATGTTAAGCTATATAATAACATAGCTACACTGTCAAAGTGTATGCATGTGAAATCTGCCTTTTTTACATTTTAAGCAAAATTACCTTTTTCCTCTGTCTTTTATCCTCAGAATGGGCAACAGCTATATCGGCACATATATTTGGGTTGTAAAGAGGAAGACAACGTTCAGAAAAACTATGAACTACTTTATACTTCTCTTGCTCTTATAACTATTGAACTAGCTAATGAAGAAGTAGTTATTGATCTCATTCGATTGGCCATTGCTTTACAGGTATGCTTTCATAACCATTCACTGCAGAATACATTTTTTATAAAGCAGACACCATCTTTGAAGTATTGCCTTTATCCAAGGACATGAATTTTAAAAGGGAGTTATCTAGTTGTAAATCTAAAATACTCAAGACTATGATCACATTCTTCATTTATTCCTTTTACGTATGTTACATAAGCATCAACTTGTGTGCTAAATATCCTTCAAGGCCATAGGGATATACTGTGATGAAGAAGACAGACACAGTCCCTGTACCCCTGTACCCACACTTCCTAACCTGGGGGGATAGTCATTAAATAAGAATGACACACGTGCAGTTGTTTAATTAGAGCTGCATAAGTGTTATGTAATAGAAGGACAGTATGCAATGGCTATATGTGAGCGCGCATGTGTGTGTGTGTGTGTGTGTGTGTGTGAGAGAGAGAGAGAGAGAGAACAGGGAAGGCTTTCCTAGGGAAGAGAGTTTAAGTTGAAAAATTTAACTCTCTTGTAAATGAACATTTATTTTCCTTTCAGAATTGTTTTAGAAAATAACTTCTGATAAAGTGGCATTTTTGTTAGCTTTCCAAACTACCTGCAGTTTTCCAGTGTAATCAGAGAAAATGCTGGTGGAGCGTAAGAACTTGATCTCTCTGATGTGTTTGTTCCTTATTAAAGGACAGTGCAATTATCAATGAGGATAATTTGCCAATGTTCCATCGTTGTGGAATCATGGCACTGGTTGCAGCATACCTCAACTTTGTAAGTCAGATGATAGCTGTCCCTGCATTTTGCCAGCATGTTAGCAAGGTAATGTATTTAGAAAAGTCCTTAAACTTGAATTTTGTACAAAATTGCTAATTTTATTCCAATGATGATTATTTTTAACTTTGGTGATTATGTATCAAATTAAGATAATTCTATAAAAATATACAGCCAGTAAACTGAAACTACAGCTAAAACTGTAACTACTGTTTTTATATTTTCTTAGATGAATGTTGTTATATTACAATAGTTTAATGTAGTGATTGAATGCAATATATGGTTTTCTTCTAGAATACCTTATGTAATTTATTCTGTGACTTTTTTCCTTTGAACCCTTATGAATCTTAGTATCTAAATTTTCTTAAATTACACTCTTTTGTTGTTTATTCTAAACTACTTGAGGCAGATCTCAAAAGTTGAATAATTAATGTGCATCTCAGAGAATTGTCCTATGTCTTTCAAATATATTTAGTTTTCTTTAGCAGTAACTCTTACATCGTTATTTGCATAACTTAATAAACATTACAGTGGCCCCAACTTACCTAGCAGAAAAAGTCTACTTTTAAAGACATCTGTAAGAGAGAACTTTATTTTTCTAAAATTGGAAGCACATCGTTTAGTCCTTACTAAAATGTAGGCTTTTAGTGTACTCTAAGAAACAAAACTCATCCATTCATTAATCAGATATTTGAGTGAATAATTGATGCCCACCACTAGAGAATTAAGTATTACAAAAGCAGAGTACCTCTTTGCTCACAGTTCATTGGAGGAGCTAGACCACACAAGTGCCTGGAGACCTTGTACACAGGCTGCAAAAGGTAGTGCGGCAGGTGGAGGATGGTAATTTGTAAAGCGATTTATAAAATAGTGCATTTGAGAAAATAGATATTCTTGCTTTATCTTACTAGGCTTAATCAAATGTAATGTGTCATCATTTTTTGCTTTATATATTATTTTATTATCACAGTTTTATCTGTTAAATTTTAAAAATAATAGATGTGAAAACAAAACAGACTGTACACTTGGGCTATAAACTTAGCTTAAATTCAAAAACAGTGATGGTATTTCTTATAAATGTTTAAAGTTGTTTTGTTTTTAAACTGTTTTCCAAATTTTTATAGCAAGATCCTGAGGGGTGGGATTTTTGATTTTTGTTCTGTTTTTGATATTTTTTAGGTTATTGAAATTCGAACTATGGAAGCCCCTTATTTTCTACCAGAGCATATCTTCAGAGATAAGTGCATGTATGTTAATCTGTACGTTTTAAGGATGGGGTACTGACTTGATAAACCAATCAGTAATAATTATAAAGGAGTAAATATTATTACAGTAATTCCTGGTGCTTTATACTAATCATCATTTTGTGTCTGTCATTTAATTCATTTAATTATTTCCCTTGTTATAAAAGGGCCTGCACATTATGGATGTTGACTCATGCACAACATGGAGTCAATCTTGAAGAAGTTTTTTAAGAATAAGACTTGGCCGGGCGCAGTGGCTCACGCCTGTAATCCCAGCACTTTGGGAGGCCGAGGTGGGTGGATCACCTGAGGTCAGGAGTTTTAGGCCAGCCTGGCCAACATGGCGAAACCCTGCCTCTACTAAAAAATACAAAAATTAGCTGGGCGTGGTGTCATGTGCCCGTAGTATCAGCTACTCAGGAGGCTGGGGCTGGAGAATCACTTGATCCCAGGAGGCGGAGGTTGCCGTGAACCAAAATCACACCACTGCACTCCAGCCTGGGCAACAGAGGGAGACTCCATCTCAAAAAAAAAAAAAAAAAAAACCTACCCCACTTTTTAAAAAATGTTGGCTGTCTCTCTTAAATATAGCATATTTTGTGTTCTCATATGTAAATGATCAAACCTTTAAGAGAATACAGTATCCTGTTGAAGACGTTCAGTAATAGGTAACAATGCTCAAAATATTGTGGAAGAAAGAATGTATTAAGGAAAATCAGTGTTATTTCCTGCATTATTTCTTGTTCTCTAAAGAAAAGTATATATATGAATAATTTTTTGTTTGAACTTTTGGGCTATAAAAGCAGTTTATATTGAAAGCATCAGTAAGATAATATCAAGCAGTTTGAAAGGAAGGTGAAACCTTATGTGGGTGGGCAAGTACTTCCTAACACTTAGCTGGCTAATACGGTTTTCATTAACAGTCAGTGGGTTGCATTTTTATTTTGTCTCTCAGTACACTTTTTTGTTAACATGACAATAAAAGCTACATTTAGTGTTCTTTATTACTTAACAAGTGAAGATCAACAGAGTAATATAAGGCTAAATTCACTATTGGAATGTTACTGGGAGAAGAATCACTACAGAATGGTTAATATATGGGACCGCATACTATGTGTTTTTAAAGAGCTCAAATTAGTTGCCTAAAATATACTGATTTTTCTGATACTACAGTTTACATTGTGTTTATATTTAGAATATTGAGGCTTTTGCTCTGGAATGTTTTGCATAGCAACTAATTTTTGCTCAGTAATTTAATACTGAATGATTGTTGCTTTGATGAACTTGGCAGGCTTCCAAAATCTTTAGAGAAGCATGAGAAAGATTTGTACTTTCTGACCAACAAGATTGCAGAGTCCCTAGGTGGAAGTGGATATAGTGTTGAGAGACTGTCAGTTCCGTATGTACCGCAAGTAACAGGTAAGAGGAGGATAATTAGAACTCTCACTCTGGTGATTGCTTATGTTATAGTAATTTTTTCATTACCCAGTTAGCAATGAAAATTAATTCTGGTGTGTGTCCTTACTATAGCCCAGCCATTTTCAAATGCTTAAGAGTATTTACTTCTGTTTTTTAATTTTGCTGTTGAAAACCTTCAGTAAATCTCTAACAACATAGATATGATTTTACCACGAGCAAATCAAGTCCTTGAATATTTATTGTTATGATACTTAATATTTTATTTAATAGTATATTTTAAAGTGAGATCTTTTCTCATTAAATGATACTCTATTTAAGTTATGGAAATTGATGAAAATTGTTTAATGATAAGTGATTATTGAGGTTAATGAATTAGACAACTTTTGTTGTTTGAAAGAGTACAGACTGTTGTTATATAAATAAAACTACAAACTTTTTGAGTTAGGGATTTTTTTTTCTCTGTTACCTATATAGTCCCTTCTATTCTTCCCATTGCCTGAAATAATTCTGTTTGAAGGTAAAATTGCATAGTGTCTTGTATTCAACCTTTACTGTAAAAATTAAAATCAAAGAATTTATGTCTTATGCTTTCATTTTCATTTGGTGACTATATAAATAGTAGATTTTGTGAGTTAGTTCTTTCTTTGGGGATACCTCTGTTCTACAAGAGAACCATTTGATTTCACTTAGAAAGATTTCTGGATTAGTCACTACAAGTAGCGCAGTCTTTGTAAATGGCTTTTTTTAAACAACATGGATCCAAAATACATACATTTAGTACAGTAATAATTGTTCATAACAGTCTGAGATGTTAATGAGTGCTTTTGCATTTTCTTTTAAATTTTATGCTATAAAAGATTGTGTTCCTCAGGAACTCCTTGAGGAAATAAAAGTGCTAAGAATAAAACATTATTAGAGCTTTATAATTTAAAAGATTAAAAAAAACATTTAAAATATTTTAACTCTTATAATTTGAATTTAGCTCTCTTTCCTTCAAGCAAAAAACCTCTTAAACCCAGGCACAAGCACAAAGGTAAATCCAGTTGTCAGTTTGGCCTGCCCTTTCCCTCACCTGTCCTCTAGGAAAATAGCTTAATAAAATGTGCGTTTTAGAAAATGGGGCCAGTGGCCTGCATATTTTCTGTAATTAGTTTAATTATTATTTTCGTTTATCTTCCTTATAGCCATAGTTTATTTTTACCCCTGTTATTTCTCTTTACCCTGTTCCCTTAACTCTTAACAATTTATAATGAAAGCTCTGGTACTTTTAAAATTTTTAACAAATGATCTGCACTTCCCTGATTCCTCCCACCCCTAAAAAAGATGTATTCTCTCATAATGCATCTCTGCCAATGACTGGAAGAATTCTGAATGTTTTAGTGTGTACTTAATTGTATAACTGCATAGAAATCCTAGATTTTTCTGATTTGTAAAGACTGATAGTTTAGAACCTGTCTGTGGCGTGAGTATCCTACCTTAATGCAGAAACAGAATAAACAGTGATATTTTATGGGATACTGAATCTGTAATTAAATTACCTTTTGCTATGTAACCATCAGATAATTCATTTAAAAACTTGAAGGGATTTAAGAACAATGTATTAAAATAAAAGGCAGAACATATTTAGTTTGTTGTGTATCATGCAATACCCATCATCATCACAATAGTAGCTACCATTTATTATGCACTGTGTGCTAGGCACTGTGATAAGTGCTTTGTATTCATTTTCTTATGTAATTCTCATAATGGTTTGGTGAGGAAGGTAGCATTATCTTTGTTTACAAATGAGGATAGTGAGGCTAAAATTGAATTAAATGATTAGGTGACACCACTACCAGCCTCTCCAGTTAGTTGCTTAATAAATTATTTGATTTCACTATTTTTCAGGGGCTCAAGTATTGTTCACGCATCCAGAAAGATCCAGATTGATTTTTATCATTTATTTCTCTAACTTCTACTGGGTACCTACAATTTAATATATATCAGGCACTGTTATGACTTTCACAGGGTAGCAAGATGTTAAGATGCAATTCTTATCCTCAAGGAATACAATCTAGTGGGAAAAGCAGATGAATGATTGAAACACAATGATAACTGGATCTAGAGAAAGAATGATGGCCTACCTAAAGTTTATTGAACTATTGATGCCTGGCATCCTAATAATGTGGTTGATAAATGTTAGCAGATTATTGTATTTTACTTTAATCAACCTAGAATTCAAATGAATAGTGTATGTTTAGGCCTGTGCCAAGTACTGCTTTATGAGGGGAAAACAGTAGTGTCCCCCATCTGAGTCATTCAGAGGTATCAGTGGCTTCGGTCAACTCATACAGTTATTTAAATATTAAGTGAGCACCTGCAGTGTGCCAGCTGCTGTGCAAGCAAAAGCCAGAATGAACAAGACAGGTAGGTCCCTACTTTCACAGAGCTCACAGTCTCTCTTAAATGTATTGTTTACTTGAACCACAAAACACAGCAGATGATTGGTATTATTCTAGGTGCATAGGAAATAAGTTAATTTCATTATATAATTTTTCTCTAAGATAAATAACCAGGCAATTGTAATATGAGTATACGGCTATGATTAGGGACATTTTGGGTCCAACAATAGCAGGTAAAAATATTTAATCCAGGTTTGGTGGGCCAGGGATGTCTTCCAGAGGAAAAAGCCTCTAAGCTGAGCTTGAAACAGGTGTTAGGCAAGTGAACTGTGCTTCATATGGTAGTAACAACATGTGTGAAGGAATGAGGTAGGCAAGAACAGGATTCGTTCTGTGAATTAACACAGAGTGACGACAAACTTCAGGGAGTGGAGGTAGGAATTGTAAAGCAAGGTGAACTAGTTTAAACTCTGTTCTGAAGGCAGTGGGGAAGCATGAGTGATTTTAATCAGAGGATAACATGATCAGAGTTGCATTTTAGAAATAGTACTGTGGTTGTAATTTTGCAAACTGGGGATGGGGTGACTATTTTGATGGCATGTTAGTCGTCCTTAGGAGAAATGACAGTGGCCCATAATAAAGAGGCATCAGTGAGAATATTTATTGGTATGGAGAGACAAGGAGAAAGCCAGGGATTTTGTCCAGGTTTCTGGCTTGGGCGCTTGAGTGGATGGTGTAAAACTGAGGGGACACATAGGATTTACTTACCATTTCATTTGCTTGTTTTTTTGTGTATGTTTTGTTTTTCTCGGAGGGATGAGAGATAAAGCTGGTGTATTAGTCCATTTTCACGCTGCTGATAGAGACATACCAGAGACTGGGCAATTTACAAAAGAAAGAGATTTAATTAGACTTATAGTTCCACGTGGCTGGGGAAGGTCTCACAATCATGGCAGAGGGTGAAAGACACTTCTTACATGGCAGTGGCAAGAGAGAATGAGGAAGAAGCAAAAGCAGAAACCCCTGATAAACCGATCAGATTTCATGAGACTTATTCACTATCACGAGAATAATGTGGGAAAGAACAACCCTCATGATTCAGTTACCGCCCACTGGGTCCCTCCCACAACAGGTGGGAATTCTTGAGATGCAATTCAAGTTGAGACTTGGGTGGGGACACAGCCAAACCATATCAGCTGGGCTCAAGTGAAGAAGGAAAGAAGTACATATTTCAGCTGAAACTCTCTATAAGTAATTTTGAATCTGGGGTGGTAGAAGGATAGAGTTTTTGTTAACAGAAATAAATAGGAAAAAGTGGCTGGTTTTGGAGATGATCCTCTTGTTGAGTATCTTTGAGAGTGGAGCATGCAAGTAAAGTAGCTTGAGGCAGTTAGGAGTTAGGACTGGGTTTTGTGTGAGGGTTAGGAGGTTATAATGAAAATTTTGAAAAAAGCAACATAGGGGATTTTGCTAAAGCCTTCAGGGAGGATGACTTCTCACAGTGAAGGCATGGAGATAAAGAGGATGGAATGGCTTAGACAGTTCTCTTTTCCTGAGGAGAGGCCGTGTTGGGAAGGAACGTAAAGCCCCAAAGCTGAAAGTCTCAAGAATGTGAAAGGAAAGTAAGGTAATGTTAGAATGTGGGTGCCAGGAGGTTGAGGGGTGAGAAGGCAGCTATAGAGGAGCTTCCAAAAAGGGAAAGGTAACTTGGCACAAATTGCTGAAGCTTCAAAGAAGTAGAAAATTGATTAAGACCTTTCTTTGGATTTTCCTGGAAGGTGATTATTGATCACCTTTGAGACAACACTATATTTCCTTTTTGTTCTCAATGATTTTGCCGCTCAGGGACCCCTTTCCAGCCCCCATACTTCTCTTTTCTTTTTTTATTATTGGCTTCAACATGACTCTGTTTCTGCAACCCCTCAGCTTTCATAAATTAACCCAGAAATTCTTTTATAGCCTCCTTTGAGAGAAGTCCTTATTTTTACTTCCGGAGAGACCTTGAAAGTTAATGTGCCTAGATGCTATAAGCAGATCAGCAGGGATGACCGCATACTGCCTTGGGCAATTCCATTGATGTGTTTATGTCCAGTTACTTATATCAAAGCATATCATTATGAAGGAAAAACAAAAAATACAGGGTCTAAGTTAACTCAGCAGTAACCACATGCAGGATATAAAATATTCTCATCCTGAAAATTCTTGCACAACAATGTGTCCTGTTTTGTTGCAGTTGAGTATGTACTGATTCTGTACCTTCAGCCTTCATGCAGTAGAACCTGAGTGACTTTTGTATGGTAGATACAAAACCCAGAGTCTCACTGAATTTCATGCATGGATATATAGGTCAGACATCAGTGTACATGACGGTAGTACAAGGCTGAAGGATGATGGAAGGGAAGTTCATTAATAACCGATAGTAAGTTTTTGTAGCTCAGAAGAAAGAGGGACAAGTAGAAATAATTGGAGTAATATTTAACACTTAAGGAAGCGATGTGATGTTCAAATAGGCCTTGAAAGATAAGAATCTCTATAGTGAGGAGGATGGCAAAGACAGACAGGATAACGACATGTTTCTAGAAAGCAGATATCCCACACCATGCACAGAGGTTAGAAAACAGGCATCTTTGAGTTGAACACTAGATTAATTAGGGAAGGCTGAAGTTACTGTTGGTAAGATCTGATGAGAGAGCCTAGAATGTCCTTTTAATTACACGCAGTTGGGGAGCATAGCTTGGGGAGTTATGTGGTTAGTGTTTTAAGAAGCTTAGTTAACATGGTGGTGACATACAGGTAAAATTGTAAAAAGTCTGCCATTAGGATGCACTGCATTACTGGTTCTCAGCTAAGGGTGAATTTTGCAATCTTGGGGAAATGTTTAGTTGTCACAACTGGGACGGGGAGAGATGGGATAGGCCTGTTGGCATCTAGTGTGTAGAAGCTAGGGATGCTGCTGAACATCTTATAATACAAGGGACAGCTTCCCACAACAAGAGTTATCTGGCCCAAAATGTCCATAGTGTCAAGGTTAAGAAACCCTAGCTAGGTTATGCTATAGTAGCAAACAACCCCAAGTTCTTAATGGTTTGAAACAGTAAAGATTTATTTATTGCTCAGACTTGCTGTACATAACTATGCATCATCCACATTCTGGAATCCAAGTTGATGGAGCTACCACTGTCTGGTACGTTACTCATACTGTATTGGCCAGGACTTATTACAGAACCCCTCCTAACCACAGAGAGGACAGGAATTGCAATCCTGTCACATCCCCAGAAAGGGCAAACTATAATATTGACTAACAGCATTAGTTACAACCATGGAAGGCTACCTGGGAGTAGAGGAGTAGTCAGTAAGAGAGAAACCAGTTTCTTGCTGATTGCTTTTAATTCGTCAATCTTTGCTTCTTTAGTAAAGTAAAATCACAGTATATACAGAATAGAATTAGAAAGATGGAGCATAGGCTGGGCACAGTGGCTCACACCTGTAATCCTGGCACTTTGGGAGACTGAGGTAGGAGGATTGCTTGAAGCCAAGAGTTCGAGACCAGCTTGAGAAAAAAAAAAATATACCCCGTCTCTACAAAAAGTTAAAACAAAAAATTTAGCCAGTTGATTCCATGTCTTTGCTGTTGTGAGTAGTGCTGCAATGAACATACACGTGTGCAAACCGACACAGGAACAGAAAATTAAATACCACATGTTCTCACTTGTAAGTGAGAGCTAAATGATGAGAACACACAGACACATAGAGGGGAACAGTACACACTGGGACCTGGTGGAGGGTGGAGGGTAGGAGAAGGGAGAGCATCCAGAAAACAACTAATGGATACTAGACTTAATATGTGGGTGATGAAATAATCTGTACAACAAACCCCCATGACACAAATTTATGTGTATAACAAACCTGCACGTGTACCCCTGAACTTAAAAGTTTAAAAAAATTAACCGGGCATGGTGGCGCATGCCTGTAGTCCCGACTACTCGGGAGGCTAAAATGGGAGAATCACCCAAGCCCAGGAGTTTGAGGCTGTAATGAGCTTTGATCACACTGCTGTACTCCAGCCAGGGTGACAGAGAAGAGACACTGTCTCAGGAAGAAAAAAAAGAGAACAGTGAAGTGTTGCTAGATGATACAGTAACTCTGTGCTGTTAGGCTGATTCTAGACCTGAACTTCCCTACTGTTTTGGGGGAACTTTATAGGTGTGTCTGAGTATTGTTCTCCTTTGCTCTTCAGGTAGCTGGAGAGGGCCTGGGGCAGTCTGAGCCTGCAATATGAGCAGGCCCTTCCATTTATCTCTGTGTACCATGCATGCGTTATAATTTAATATGTACAGTGAGGTAGAAAACTTTGGGAACTCTGCATTAAGCAGTGGGCTGCATTTGTTTAACAATTCTAATTAGGACTGAAAATGATCTGTTTTTGAAACAACTCTATTGGTAGTACAGAAGGGAGAAACATACTAGGAAGACCCACTTGAAAGCTATCCAAAGAGTTTAGGTAAGAAAAGATGAAGATTTTGAAAGATGGCACTCCTGAAAATAAATAGGACAATGTGGAGATAAAGATGGCTTATTTAGAGATGCAGAATTGGATTTAGAACATGTCAAATAGAATTGATTAATAAGAAATTGGAAATGTTGAACTCAGAAGAGGAGGCGCCAGAATCCTGCTCAGTCACACAGGTATTTATAGAGCACCTACTGGGTGCCAGCTGCAACCCTACTAGTACCTGGGAACTCTCTGAGAGAGTTAGAGGTCCTGGGATGTGACCTGGGTGAGTACATTCCTTTTAGGACTGGGAGTAGAACAGTAGCCAACTTGGCATCATTGTCACCCTTCCTGAATTCTCTTCTGCGTCGTAAAGGAAAAATTGGGAACTATGTTTTTTCAGAATCAGAGACTGACAATGAAAAGCGCTCAGAACAATCTGCAAGTAGAAGAGGAGAAACTGTTATGTTTAAAAGACAGTGTAGCATTCAAATGGGTGAATATCAGACTAGCAGCTTCCAGAAGCTTCTTGAGAATTACCGTCTCCATGCTGCAGACTGAGAATATCCGATGGCTAGCCTAACTTTTACTCACTCAGCTTTCCAAGGGTTGAATAAGCCTCTAATTCTATATATTGGAATACACAAAGTGACTTCCTTTTTTCGGTTGTAATCATGATTGATTGATATTTTCCTAGCATCCTGTACTCTCCATCATACTTTAATAATTTGTGTGATTTTATTGTATATTTTTCCTGTTAAACTGGAAGCTGCACAGGGTGTGTAATATCTATTCAGCAGACTGTCCGTAACACCTAACAGGGTCTCTAATCACTTCCTAGATTTGATGAGTATTGAGTGCTAAAGTAGAAAAACAGAAGTAGAAAAGAATGTATGTAAGGACATTATGATCAACAAATTCAAATGTTCATGAAGTGGTTAAGCAGAAAATGGGCTAGGACTAGCTTTTGAATTTAGTGATTTGGGAGACCGTGGAATTTTATTTAAAAGCGCTGTCAGAAGAGTGGTTGGGGTTGGGATTATAATTACAGGACTTCGGCATAGTCAGTAGTGAAAAATCAGAGCAATTTGTTCAGACTGTACAAATGAATTGGGGGCCGAAAAGTAGATTAGCTAGAGCACTGAGGTAAGGCAACATCTTTCTGGAGAAGTGATCAGTTGTAAAGCAAAATAACATCAGCTGATGGAGATGACTGAACGGACAATACTGGAGGAGATACTAATTGAAACAGCAATTGCTTTCAGTCCACAAATTGTAATGCACTGTAAACACCTTTAAACATTGCTTCCCAAACTGTCATCCTAGAACCAGAGTTAGTTGACAGCTTTCACTGTTCGGTGAAAATATTAGAGAGATCAGGGCAATATTAATATTGTCAGTTTTGAGTTAGGATAAATGTATTAAGTTTAGATTATGTACTTCCTTTGTTTGCTGTTACACTGACTTGCTTTCTTAAACTATTCGGTAGTGGTGGTGGTTGTTGCTGTCCTAAATGCCCCTTTTTGAAAAATAAAAATCTGATAACCTTATTTCAGTTCACCCCATCAATTTTACTTTTTAATCTGCTTCACGAAATGTAAAAGTCCGAGAACACACTGCTTTATGTATTTAGAAGGAACAAAAAAGACAAACTGTCTTAATTTTTTGACAGTTTTTGAAATCTGAGATAAGTAGAGTTTATAAATGAAAACCAACATAACTTAATTTTTTGACAGTTTTTGAAATCTGAGATAAGTAGAGTTTATAAATGAAAACCAACATAACATTTCTAACAAATAATGGGAGGAAAACAATTTTATTTCAGATGAAGATCGACTTTCTAGAAGAAAAAGCATTGTGGACACCGTATCCATTCAGGTGGATATTTTATCCAACAATGTTCCTTCTGATGATGTGGTAAGTTACTGAAAGTTTATGGTAGAGTACTGTCTTGGTAGACATCATTTAAAAGAATTTTTTGCCTTCCACACTTTCAAACAGGAGAAAATACAACTCTAAATTATCCTCAAATCAACTAAACTATTAGTAGAAATTAATCTGATTTAGCTTTGAATTTATTTCTAGTTTATTTTACTGAACTCATTTCAGCTGTCTGTAAAGATATATAAACCTAACATTATATGTTACGATGTTGTCAGATTTCACATTAATTTAGTGTAATAAAGGAACTGTAAAGTATGGTTTTTTTTTTTTTTTTTTTTGGTAAGAAACTTAATACAAAGCCTGTCATTAAATTAGTGGGCTGTCTAGATCCTACTTATTTTTAAAAATTTAGGAAATGCAAATTACAGAAATAAATATAACTATACATCCTCATGTGAAGCCAAATGCTCACTACCTTTAAAAAGTTTTAAAAGTTCCTCTCTAAGGTAAAATGTTTTAATTATTTTGGATAGTAAGGATGTAGTTTAAGCTGCGTTAGTGAGCTATGTACTCTGTAAGGACTGTGGCTTATTTAAAACAGATTTCATGCTCTCCTCCCGTTTCAGAAGAGCACAAGAGTGTACCCTCCTGAGTTATAGGGGAAAAAGCAGCCAGTATTCTCTAGGACTTATTCGACACAAATCACCAGATAATTTTTTCATAGTCAAGTAAAAATGCCAAAATGCCAGCATGTCAAGTCAACCTCCACCTTGTGGTTTATCCATTGTTTGCCTTCTTAAGTATTTATTTCTCATTGGTACAATATGCATAATTAAAAGAATATCCATATAGGGAAAGGGAAAGGAAGTTATCTGAATTTATGCTTTCTCAAGCCTCCCTCCTACCCCCTTCCAATTCCTACTGATTTATTTGTCTTCAGGTACTAAACCTATTTGGTGGCCAGAGTACAGCCAACTGACTTATGTTTTCTATGCCATTCACCTCCCCATTACATATAAGCTATCAGTTTTATTAAGAAATTATCAGCATGGCATCAAGAGTAGTTGAAGAAGCATTTAGTGTTCATTTTGAAACTCAACGCCTTAAAGCTAAAGTTTCTTACCATTTTAAGGCTTAATAAGCACCTTGCCTAAATTCACCTCTTTCTTCAGAGCTATTTAATTTATACACCCCTTACTAGTAAGAACAGTATCTTGCTAGTTCTGTCCTTTTAATGATTATGAATTTGCCGCTATTACCTTTCTAGGGAAGAAGTTCATCCACAGTCTTAGTTTATAAACTTAATTTTGTTAAGAGTACACTATATGTTATTGACTGGTATTTTCACCTTTCTCCTTTTGTTAACTATTCTTATTTTTTTCAAAAATATATGGAGAATACTTGAAACTGTTGGAAAGAGTCAGTCTATTTTGATAAAATCAACTGAAAAAACATTTGCATAAAGATCCAGTGTAGGGGAAAGATTCTTGTCACAAATCTTACATTAAAAGTCCGTTAATATTTTTATTAACTCTTACAAGATCCTGTTGTTTTTCATTTACTATAAGTCCTAAGTCAAATATGCCTCACACCAAGCATCTGAAAAGTTAAGTACAGTTTAGTATCACATTTACTTGAGCACATTTGAGTTTCGGACTCATTTACCATTGTGGAGTCTGCTTTTGGATATTAGAGATGTTTCTTCAAATACCAGAAGACGGAATAATACTATCTTCTAGGCTAAAACTAATTAATTACTTTCATATAACAGACAGAAGAAATTCACATCAAATAGATATTTACCAGTTAATGGTGCAGCAAAATATCAAACTATTTTCTTACAATGAATCAGATAAGAAAATTGCTCATAAAAAATAACTTTTTTATTTGATCAAAATTATTTATAGTTTGTATGTATAATCCTAGTTTATCCTCAGATGTATTTGCTTTTGCTTTTTAAACTTACAATTTAAAAAAAGAGAGAGAGGCAGAAGGTTGTTTAGATGGAGACCATCACAAACTTTTGTTTCCCTAAACTCTAGTCTATTGAAATACCTGGTCCACTTGAGATGTGCCAGTTCTGACATTTGCAATTCCGACCTGGGCCTACTGAGAATCATTTGGTGAACTTTTTCTAAAAATTGCCATAGATAAAAAGATGTATATTATTATTTCTTCTAAAAATGTGCTCATGGCATAAAATGTATTACTGATACTTTTATCATAAAGCAGCTGATATACCTTTTACATATCTCAAAGCAAGAGGGAGATTTGAGAGACTCAAGGTAAAAGTTATTTTTAGAGAATATAAATTGGTGGTTGACTTTAGAGGAATGCTTCCCAATGCATATATATACATCTGTGTATATATATGCATATATATATGCATATATGCATACACATATATACACATATGTATATATATGCATATATATGCATACACACATTTTTATAACGATACCTAATTTAAATTAACATATTCAAGAAGATATATGACTAAAACAGAACAGAGGCATCTCTGTCTCCCGAGATAAAATTATCAGCTTGACTAATAGAATAAAGCACTATAGGCATGATTTTTTGCTTCCTTATATATGCATAATTGATATGAGTAAAACCTGAAATCATCACACTACTCTTCTCTCTAAAAGCTTATAGTAAGTGCTTGATTATTTAAGGGCATGGGTAGGATGTTATATATATTAAATTTTGAGTATATGTTAAATTTTTTGGTACAAAATTAAGTCACTGGTTGACTGCAAAAGATTGTTGTTTATTCTGGTACAAATAACAGATCTTTGTTTTATATCCATGTACTCCTGTCTTTTTTCCCCAAATACAACTAGAGATACTGTGTGTATGCCAACATCTAGTCAGTGTTAGTCACACTGTGGTGCTAGATGCTATCAAATTACTATGATATTTGTGGAAGTGACGTAACAACTACTATAATTAGAAAAAGATGAATGGTAGATTTTATGTAGGCCCAAGGGCATTATATAGTCTAGGTTAGTGTTATAGATCATAGATAAAGCAAAAGTCCTAGATTATAAAGGGAATGTTGAAATTCCTTTAGGATGGTGCCTTTGCACCACTTCTCTATAACTCCAGCATAACCAGTTTTTCCTCTAGAGTTGGAACAGATTGTAGTTTAGTAGATCACCAAATAAAGTATGTAGCTTGTATTTACCAGCTATGGTATATAAAAACATGAATCATTAAATGCTAGTATAAAGCAGTTAGTCTTAAAAAAAAAAAAAAAAAAAAAAAAAAAAGATTCACAAAAGGGACAAGTGGGAGATAAGACTGAAAAACATTATAGAAAGTTGTATACCGGGCTGAGGGCTTTGTATGTAACTTCATAGGAAGTAGGTAAACACCAAAATTTAGTCAGTGTCATTATTAGAATTGTGCTTTCATAAAAAGAATCTCTCAAGTGTGACAAGGCTAAATTAGAAAGAAGAGACTGGAGGTAGAGGCAGTTAGAAGATCCTTGTAATAGTCCACAGTTGATGGAATGAGGATCTAGAGTAGCCAGGCTGGAGGTAACAAAGAGGGACAGGAGGGCAGGAGTACTCTACTTTAAAGTAGAATGAATAGGACCAACAAATGACTTGAAGGGATTTAAAGAAAGGAGATGTTAAAAAAAAAAAAGAAAAAAGAAAAAATGTGGACACTGATGGCATGAGTTGGGGGCTCTTGATGCTAGGAAGCTGCATCATAATTATCTGAATTAACGCAAACAGGGACAAAAAGAGAAGAGTTAATAGGGTAAGGTATTTTAGCTCTTTACTTATCTGAGATTGACAGGTAATAAGTAAAAATTATATGTATCAAGAATGCTGGCCTTCTAACTTCTCCCATGTTCTTTTTCCTATACTGGAGTTGTATCTCAAAAGTCAGAAGCTCTTAGCCAGTTCTAAGAACAAAAGCAATTTCTTTTTTTCACTGAAGTACTAGAATGCTTATAAGTACAAATAATTGACCAGCCAGAGCCTAATCTTATATGTCTGCTCCAGATATCTAGAACAAAACAACTGAAGATTCCCAAGTTTAATCTGACTTCAACTAGAAATATGAACCCTCAGTAGCAAAACTGAGGGAGTGGAACTCTTGCTGCTTGATTTCCAGCTAAAGCCTTTGTATTACAGAGAAGCTAAGGTGCAGAGAATGAAGTCTTTTGCTTTCGTTAGTCTTGCTGCCTTAGACTTAGCAAAAGAAGCTCATGAGCTAAAATTAGGGATGACCAGATTCCCAGGCAAGTACCCATGTATCGTTTCTTAATTTTTATTCAGAGATACTATAGGAACTAGATATATTATTTTTCCTGAAAATGTGCTGATGCCATAAAATGTGTTTTTGCCTTTTTTTAAAGCAGTTGTTTTCATACCTTTTTACATATCTCAAAGCAAGAGAGACTTGAAAGACATAAGTTAAAAGGATAGTTTCAGAGATTATAAATTGGTGATTGACTTTAGAGAAATACTTCCCGAAGTAGTGGTTTTTACTTTTAAATCGTTTAAAATCTTAGTTTTACTTTTGATTTGTAAACTGTGTGTGATACCAAAATTATAGAGGCTGTAGAGTACTTAGTTGTTTTTTATCACATGTCTAAAAATGTATTTATATATAATCTCAGCCTTCACTGTCTCAGAGCATCGTTTACTTACAGCACAGTGTTCAGTCAGTGAGACTCAAATCTTCTTGTGCCTCACCGAAGTGGAGACTGAGTTCTGTAATTCAAGGGTGGTTTTGTTGCCTAGGGTATGTTAATTATTGCAGTCTAATGCTAATCTATAGACTTGTTTTGGGGAACCACTGCAGTAGGCCATTGTTAGAACCAGTGAAAAAGTGGAGATTATTTGGTACTGCCGAGTATAATCACAGCTCAGACCAACACAAAGAAGAAAACAAATCTGAAAAACTTCTTAGATGACTTGTAACTAGGTAAAGGTGTTATTTATATTGACCCTTTGTAACTCTCGATTTCACTTATAATCACTTTTCTCTAGGTTAGTAACACTGAAGAAATCACTTTTGAAGCATTGAAGAAAGCAATTGGTGAGATATTTTGCACTTGTTAGTACGACCAATATTTAACTTATCTTTATCTGCTTCTTTTTTCAATGACAGAATAAGTAGAGGGGACATTACAAAAACAAAACCAAAAACACTTGTTGGCTTCTATAGAAATGTATCATTTATTTAGCTACATGTTTTAGGCTTCAAAATTGTCTTGTCCCATCAGGGTCATATTCCTGAACAAGTAGACGCAATTATGGCAGTGATATAAAAGAAGACATTTATTAATTTACTTTCCCACAAACTTTGGCCAGACCATACATCATCATAAGACCAAGAAAATTCCTTCCCAAATAATGGTAAATAAATGGAAAAGGCTACAACAACATGTTTCCAAATGACCCCCCGTTCATATTTCAGTTATTCCACTCAGTACCAAGATTCAGTTTAGCAAATATTTTATGTAGTACCTCATATATGCAAGAACATTGTTACATAAAAGAGTCATCCTTCGGGAGGACCGTGAAGTAGTTCGACTTGTAGGAAGCTCCCATTCCCTTGCTGTTTTTTGGTAAGAGAGACAAAGGCATTCTATGAAAGGGAATCTTGTGCTGTGTAGTATTAACCCTTGGTTTTTTGTTTTGTTTTGTTTTGTTTTGTTTTTGTGCATGTGTTTTCTAGCCTTAAGATATTTCATGGATGTTAGGCCTTTTTATTTTTTTCTTGTAAAAGTAGCCCTGTAAATTGCCCTTAATTTTAGATGATATATCATTAGCTCTTAATGGTCATTGACTGGATTCTGTGAAATTATGTATTCCCTTTAGTGAATCTTTATAAATATTTATATAGATACCAGTGGAATGGAAGAACAGGAAAAGGAAAAGAGGCGTCTTGTGATAGAGAAATTTCAGAAAGCACCTTTTGAAGAAATAGCAGCACAGTGTGAATCCAAAGTAAGTGAACAAATGGTGAGGGGATTGTGGGTGGACTGTTGCTTTGTGGAAACTCTTACTTGATTGGTTGATAAGTTCCAAGCTTTAGTCAAATCAATAGAACACAGGAAAATATATCTGATAAGGACTGAAAACTCTGAAGGCATATCTATGAGGCCTAAATAATTTCTTTGTGTGATGTAAGCTGATGGAAATGGTGGAACTGGTTTCCTAAATTAAATATTAGTGATTGTTATTCTTTTCATAGTTTTTTTCAGTGGTTTTCATGATTTTGCTGCAGGTATTTTGTTTTATGTGTTTGTTGATTTGTTTTTAACATCGAGACTAGGAAAGGGAGAAAAAGACAACCCTTACATTAAATTCTAATAGATAAGACAGATCAAACCAAAATGTTAAAGCATTGTGTACTTAATAATTAATCAGCTTAATAGTCACAATTACACTTTGTCTCTTAAATTACATTGCTACTATTATATATAGATTCTTAGAAAATAATCCGTTCTTAACATTTTTTTCTTTTTTGCAGGCAAATTTGCTTCATGATAGACTTGCTCAAATATTGGAACTCACCATACGGTAAGGGTTTTGTTACCACAGTAGCAATAACACACATACGTGAATATAAACTGTCGGACCCCTATGAATTTGTGGTTCATTATGTTTAAGTTATGATGTTAAAGTAATGCTTTGCATTTAGGATTAACATAAGATCATATAGGTGATCCTTTGCTTAATAGTGATTCTGTTTTTTAGGCAGAGTCTGATACCCTTTCTTGACTAGTTGTCCTCTAGCTTTTTAGCTGCTTTTTTAGATTATTCATTCCTTCCTGATGATCTCATAAGGACATCTGGGTAATTTGAAAGACCCATATTCTAATATTATGCTTAATTAGGAAATTGCTCATATTGAATTGTTTTGTCCTGCAGAAACTGCATTTTAATATGTCAGCCTCATGGTTCTTTTCAGGGCAGTAATAAGTCTACCTATGCAGATGGCTCATTTGAATTATTGAACTTTCCTTTAGCTTTTTTACATCATATTCATTTCAGTTCTGCTGTGAATTATTGTGCTCTTTGATTATCCTGTGTCTGTACATTAGTAAGAAATGTGGCACCTGAAGGAAGGAGAGGCAGTGTGGAAACCTGCTTTTGTGAGAGGCGGCCAGTAGATAGTCTATGCTTCTGGAAATTTTTTCTGTATCTGCCATATCTTTTATATTTTTAGCTTGATTAATTAAGTCTGTTTTGCTTCAACCCTGTATTATATTAATATTAGATAGGTAAATGCTCTAGGCAACTTGCTTTTTTATTTCAGCCTTTTTTCTGCTTTGATAAGCAAGGCACATTTTTGTCATTATATATCTTACTCGAGACATTTCCCTCCCATACCTGCTACACTCTCTAAGTTGAGAATCACTCATTTACAAAATTTAAGAACAGAAAATCAGAATAAAATATTCAACATGTGCTAGAAAAGGGGTCCCCAACCCTTAGTCCAGAGACCTGTACTGACCCATGGCCTGTTAGGAACCAAGCTCCACAGCAGGAGGTGAGCGGCGAGCAAGCGAACATTACTGTCTGAGCTCCGCTTCCTGTCAGATCAGTGCGGCATTAGATTCTGATAGGAGCGGGAACCCTATTGTGAACTACTGCTCATGCAGGGGATCCCATTAGATTCCTGATGATCTGAGGTGGAACAGTTGCATCCTGAAATCATCCCCCCAGTCCCCATCTGTGGAGAAATTGTCTTCCACAAAACTGGTCCCTGGTGCCAAAAAGGTCCGGGACTGTTGTGCTAGACTTAGGATTCAATTAAAATTGCTGGGTATGGGCATTTACTTCTTTGATGACTAAATTTCAAACATTTAGTAGTAAATGTCTGCTGTGTACTTGATCTTATGCTACATGGTTTATATCTGTTATTTCTGCTAATCCTCACCATAGCCCTGAAAGGTAGGTAGACACTATTTTGTTCATTTTTCAGGTGAAGACACCAAGGCTTAGAGAAAAGTAAAATAACTTGCTGAAGGTCATACGGCTAGCGAGTAACAAAGTCAAAATTCAAATCCATAACTGATGTTCTTAAAAGGAATGTTGCTAGAGATCACCATATTACATGTAGTCAAACTAACATAATTATATGAATTTAATATTTTAGAGTAAGTATTAAAGCTAATTCTGTTTCATTGGTACCACAGCTACTACTAATACTTACATTCATTGAAGAGTTACTACTAATAATTAACATTTTTAAGCACCTGTGTTGTTCTAAGCACTGTGCTAAATGTATTATTTTATTTAGTATCTGCAACACACCCTAACAAACAGATAGTGATTATTCTCATTTTACATGTTATAAACAGATACATGGAAGTTAGGTAACTTATACAGGGTCACCTATTTAGGAAGCAGTAGCTCTGGAACAGCTTTTTGGAGAAACTAAACAGACTTTATAGAAATGTGTCTTCAGAGTTTTCAGGTCCTGTCTGATACATTTCCTCTTGTTAATTTGCCTCACCCTAACCATCAGACAGTGGAAAGAGTTTGTATTCTCCATAAAAGAAACAGAACACACAATATTATACTTCGCTCCCACTGTTCTTTCATTTACATTTTAACCATACCTGAGTATGGTTAAAAAAAACAAGAAAGGCAAAGAAGCTGTAAAATACAGTGAGAATAAGCAGCCTCACAGATAACCCAGTTATTAGAATTAGTAGAAAAGGCCCTTAGAACACCACACACCCACACCTCCCACCAGACCCCACACACACACGTCAAAGAATTTAAAGGACAAGATACATATAGTTTGGAAAGAAATGTGTGTGACACAGCTTATTCTCACGATACTTTCCTGTTTCTTTGCATTATAATTGTAAATTTTAATGTTCCTCTCATAAGAGTACTAAAACATAACAAGAAGACAAAAATGCAGAAAGGATATAAGATTTGAACCATTTCAGTCCATTTAAGTGGCCTTTAGAAAACAGTATGCTAGGCAGATACAGAATATAGTTTCTTTTGAAGTGCACATACAACATTCACAAAATAGAAAAATGTGGGACTATAACAAATGTAAGTAAATGTCAGGAAACTGACATGTTAAGACATCATGTTGAGTATGTTCTCTTGCCACAAAAAAATAGATATATAATGCATTAACACATATCTAGAAAAATTTCAAATGTCTGGAAATTAAAAGACACCCATATCTTAAAGAAGAAATGAAAGGAGGAATTAGAAAACATTTTAAACTAAAAATACCTATCAAAGTTTTGTAAGATGAAGCTAAAATCTTGCTCAGGAGCAATTTTATATCTTTAGACGCTTTTGCTTGCAAAGAAGAGAGATCTGAAAGTAGTGAATTAATGACTTTTGGTAAGACATTAGAGAAAGAAGAACAATGTAAGCTAAACTAAGTATATCAGAAGTCAGTGAAACAGAAAATAGGCAATAAGACAACAAGAAATATTAACAAATGTAAAAGTTTGTTCTTTGAAACGGCTGATAAAATTGGTAAACCTCTAGTCAGTGTTAAGGAAGAAAAAGAGAGAAAACACAGATTACCAATATTACAAATAAAAAAGAATTATAATAAAGGAATGTGATAAAACAATTTTATGACAATAAATTCAACAATTTAGATGAAATGGGCAAAAATCATTGAAAGTCAAAACTAACTAAAATTGACACAAAAAGTAGTAAAACATCCAAATAACCCTCTAACTGTTGAAATAGATTTGAAATTTAAAAGCATCCTGCAAGAAAATGCATTTAACTTCACCGCTTACTTTTATCATACATTTAGGTAAGAAATAATACCAGTTTCATATATATTCAGGAAACAAAGGAGGTAGAAACATTTTCTAACTCATGAGGCCAGCATAACTTCAACATAAAATGAGACAAAGATAAAAACCACAATGAGATACCATCTCACACAAGTTAGAATGGTAATCATTAAAAAGTCAGGAAACAACAGGTGCTGGAGAGGATGTGGAGAAATAGGAACACTTTTACACTGTTGGTGGGACTGTAAACTAGTTCAACCATTGTGGAAAACAGTGTGGTGATTCCTCAAGGATCTAGAACTAGAAATACCATTTGACGCAGCCATCCCATTACTGAGTATATACCCAAAGGATTATAAATCATGCTGCCATAAAGACACATGCACATGTGTGTTTATTGCAGCACTGTTCACAATAGCAAAGACTTGGAATCAACCCAAATGTCCATCAGTGACAGACTGGATTAAGAAAATGTGGCACATATACACCATAGAATACTATGCAGCCATAAAAAAGGATGAGTTCGTGTCCTTTGTAGGGACATGGATGCAGCGGGAAACCATCATCCTCAGCAAACTATCGCAAGAACAGAAAACCAAACACCGCATGTTCTCACTTATAGGTGGGAATTGGACAATGAGATCACTTGGACACAGGAAGGGGAACATCACACACTGGGGCCTATTGTGGGGAAGGGGGAGGGGGGGGGATAGCATCAGGAGATATACCTAATGTAAATGACGAGTTAATGGGTGCAGCACACCAACATGGCACATGTATACATATGTAACAAACCTGCACGTTGTGCACATGTACCCTAGGACATAAAGTATAATAATTAAAAAAAAAAAGAAAATTATAGACAAGTACCCCTCTTGAATATAGTCATAGAAATCTTTATCAAAATGTTAGCAAATGTATAAAACTGATGATATGGCCTAAATAAATGGGGTTACTATGAGGAAAGCAAGATGAGTTTTACATTAGAAAGTTGATCAGTCAGCAAAATTCACCACATTAATTAAGAGAGTAAAGTTGCATGATCACACCAGTAGCAGAAAAAAAAGCATTTGAAAAAGCTCAATGTTCATTTAAGACAAAAATTATCAGAAAATTTGGAATAGAAGGGAACTTAATCTGATAAAGAGTAATTACAAAAAATCTATTGCTGGTGTTATATCTAATGGTGAAAGTCTGATGCCTTTCACCTAAAACTGGGTCAAGGATGTCTATTCTCACCATGTCAACATTGTATTGGAAGTCTTAGGTAAGTAAAGTGAAAAAAAGGAAAAATATAAAAATGAGAAAGGAAGAAATGAAACTATCTTTTCACAGATGACATGGTTGTATATGTGGAAAATCTTAAGTAATCAAGACGAAAAAAAAAAAAAACCCCTACTAATGTTATTACATGAATTAAATGAATTTTAGTAAGGTCACAGGATTCAAGGTATTCAAGGTCAGTATTCAAAATTCAGTTGTATATCTATATGTTAACAACAAACAATTGCAAGAGTAAATTTTTAAACATAGCATTAAAAAAATATTTAGCCATAATTTAACAGTATGTAAGATTTCTGTTACGAATGTAAAACATGAATGAGAGAAATTAAAGAATACCTAAATGAAGGAGAGATATACCATGTTCATGGACTGAAGGATTAAATATTGTTTATATGCTGTTTCTTTCAAGTTGATCTGTAGCTTCAATAAAATGTCAATCAAAACCCCAACAGACTTTTTTTTTTTTTTTTGTAAAAACGTGTAAATTGATTTTAAGATTCAGATGAAAGTACAAAGGACCTGGAGTAGCTAACTGTTTTGAAAAGGAAAAATAAAGCTGAAGAATTTACATTGCCTAATTTCAATACTTGATTTATAAAGCCAAAGAAGTCAAGACATTATTGATATAAGAGTACACAAAGAGATCAAGATAACAGAATAGAGAGTCCTATCAAAAACTTAAGTGATTTTTGATAAAGGAATCAAAACAATTTAATGAGGAAAAGAAAATATTTTAAACAAATGTCCTGGAACCACTAGATAACCTCAGAGAAAAATACCAATCTCAATCCCTACCTTCCACTGAATAGAAACATTAATTATTAAGTTGGGTAATCAATGTCTATGTAAAATCTAAAACCAAAACTTCTAAAACAAAACATAGGAAAGAGTCCTTTCAGTCTTAAAATGAGCAAAAAGATTTCCTAGGACACACAGAGTACTAAACAAAATTGGTAAATTGGTCTTCATGTAAATTAAAAACTTACCCTTAAAAGACTCCAGTAAGAATATGAAAAGGCAGACCACAAACTGAGAAAATACAGTATACACAGTACCGATATCTGATAAAGAACCCCTACAACTGAAAAATAAAGACAATTTTCAAAATGGCCAAGACAGTAGACATTTTACAAAAGGAATGTTTGAATCGCCAATAAGCATGTGTAAAAGTGTTTAAAATCATTAGTTAACAAGGAAATGCAAATTTAAATAGCAAGATACGATTTTGTGCCCATTAAAATGAGAGAATTGAGTCTATTCACAAAAAGACATGTGAATGTTTATGACAGCTTTATTCATAGTTGCCAAATGTCCATTATCACGAGAACAGACAAATGATGGTAATATAATGAAATACTATTCAGCAGTAAAAAGGAACACAATTTTTGGGATAAATCTAAAAAACATATTAAGTAACAGAAATCAGACATAAAAAGACAGTTTGTTGGACTGTTCATAGAGCCTGTATAGACCATTTACATGAAGGTTAAGAACAAGCACCACTAATCTTCAGTGATGGAGATCAGAACATAGTTGTTGCGTGAGGATGTATGTGTATGGGTATGTCAGAGTGGGGAGAAATTGACTAGTTAGGGCCATGAAACATTTTCGGGGTGATTGAAAGTGTTCAGTATCTCTTGAACCCGGGAGGAGGAGGTTGTAGTGAGCCAAGATCACACCACTGCAATCCAGCCTGGGTGGCAAGAGTAAAACTCCATCTCAAAAAAAAAAGAAAGTGTTCATTATCTCTATTGGACTATGATTTACATGGGTGTGATTTACATGAGTGTATACATTTGTCAATTTTTGTCAAACAGTACACTTAAGATCAGTGTATTTCACTCTGAAAATTATCCCTTAATAAAAAATTTAAGTGTATTATAAATCTGGAACAATTCCAAAATTATTAGTTACCAAAAATAGATATATCAGGAAAATAGAAGAAAACCAACTGCATAACTTAACAATTGAGAATAATTTACAGTTAAAAATAATTATATGAAATTAATATCTGTGCATTTATTAAAATGAAAACATTCTTAACCATGAACTAATAAATTCAAAGAACTATATAAGACTTAAATGAAGAAACTATATATCTCTGAAATATGCTTAAGAATATTTATACAAATGAAAACATCTTATTCTTGAATAGGAAGTTGATATAGACATCAGTTTTCTGTAGATTGAGCTATCATTTTAGTAAGATAATTTTTTTTAAGTATTTGAACAAATGATGCTAAGGGCAATGTGAAAGAATCCACATGCAAGAGCAGTCAGGAAAATGCTGTAGAAAGAAACAAGGGAGCATTTGCCTTGCTTGGTAGAAAAACATATGACAGATCTTTGGTACTTATCAGGTTGGACCTGCATATGGGTAAGTGGAAGAGAGGAAAATTCAAGTATAGAAGGTATCTATGGTAAAGATAAGATTTCAGATTTTCAAGGAAAAGAGCAACTGTTGAGTTAATCTCGTTTGGACAACTGCTAAACACTACTGACCAGTGAGAGAAGGTTGGGGGAAGATTTCCACTTCACTGCTTTTACCAAAATAGACAACTTCACTCATTGTTTAGAAAAATACATAAAAACAGTAGAATTAATACAGCAGTATTTCTTGTAATCTTGACATAGAGGGAACGCTGTTCTTAGCATAAGTCTAAAACTAAAAATTACAAGGAAATGATTGATTTTTTGGTAAGGTTTTTAAGCATTTGGTAACAAAAAAAGTTGAGAAATAATGAATTGGAGGAAAGCATTTGTATCATATGACAAAAGGTTAGTTTCCCAAATTGATAAGAGAAAAATATCTGAGTAGGATTAGAGGCAGTGGACTTAAACAGGCAGTTTACATTTTCAAAGAAACCTAAAATGGATACTACAAAGATACTTGCCATTAATAGAAACATAAAAATTAAAAATGAAAATAAGAAAGAATTACTTCCTGCCTCTCAGATTGGCAAAGCTGTTTTAAAAAGACTGACTATATCTAATATTTATAACAGTGTAAAAGGTACACTGAAAAGCTGAAAGTGTAAATTGCTGGTATTCCGGCAATATGTATGTACCAAAGTCAAAATTTTGAATACACTTCAGTGCAGAAATTCTGCTCGTAAGACATAAACCAAGGAGACAACCAGTCAGAATAAAATTATGTATGTATAAGAACAGACTTGTTAACAATATTATGATGAAAAAATGAAAATGAACCTGCATTTGTTCTCTGGATTAAATCAAGTATGATGTATCTGTATAATGAAATACCATGCTCTCATCAAAAATATAATATCTGTATACATGAAATAATTTTTTACTAATGAAACAAGGCAGCTTACAAGAATGGGTAGAGTATAATCGCATTTAAAATTGTATGTACATATTTTCCAAGGAAAATGTCTGCTTTAGACTTAAAAACAGTTTGACGCTCCTGTGGTCTGTTTCCCATGCAGCCTTGTAGTTGGCCAGTAACTACAGTGTCATTGATCTCTGCAGTTGAGGAGTCTGACTTTGATATTTGCAGATAGTAGACAGAATACTCGGTGACACGAACAGCTTGTGAGTACACCTGCTGACCATGTGCTTTTGTTCTTTTACAGTCCTCCTCCCAGTCCATCAGGAACACTGACCATTACTTCTGGGCATGCCCAATACCAGTCTGTCCCAGTCTATGAGATGAAGTTTCCAGATCTGTGTGTGTACTGATTGGCTCATGAAGACCTCAGCATATGATTTGTAAAGCCTAAAAATTACAGCCAAGCTGAGCTTTCAGGGTTTACCTAATGTGTATTAACATACTTCTTGAAAATAATGATGGAACATATCTTTAACCAAATGCTTGGCATACCATATTAGAAGTTTTGGAGCTATATATAATTTCAAGTACTTTCGAAGATAGATTTATGCCATGTTAATTTGCTTTGAGGTTCCTGTTGCCTTTTAAGTTGAACATGTTTTGGTTTCACTTTATTCCACTGTTAAGTAGTATATTTTAAACTTTTCACAAATGTAATGTTTTTCCAAAAGTAAGCCTTCAGAGGATTGAAACTGTATAAATTGTTTCTCTCTTAAACATCTACACGGTCGCTTAGATGTAGAATTTTTGTTATTGTTTTCTGCAAAGGCAGATACATTTAAATATATTCCTAGTCCTGGGGCTGTAAAACTGTTCAGTGGCTTTTTGTCCCCAAGCTTTAGATAAGCTGGGATAGGCACCCTGCTATTCAGTTACTGTAATAATATGTGACAGGCATTCCTCATCTTCACAATAATAGGACATCTGTTGAATAGCATTCCTCAAAAATGACCCTAAAAACGCCATACTTTAAATTGTCCAGTTCTTGTAATACTGTGTTTCCTGCCAAGAGTTTGACCATTCTGCTTGAGAAGTGTAGAGCTCACTCTTGGAGTACCAAACTGTGCAATATTTTTACATCACAAGATGTATTCGTTTACAGGCTGTGCTTTGAAATTATAGTAGTATTTTGCTGTGGCTCCATTAATTAAATGAGATATATATTTAGTGCAGAAAAAAGACATTTAAAACAGCTATTAGTTCACCTGTGAAGAGTCTGTACATTTTGATTTCCATTAAGAGTACATTTATTTACATTTGTATATTGTGCATTGTTTTAGATCCTCATAGTCAAAAAATTCCCCAGATGGACTTTTAATTTGTAAGATTTGAACTGTGACTTGTACGCATCTGTTTAGAATCAGTTATATTATATTTGAAAAGCTGCCTGTGTTTTAACAATCAAGTGTGCTAAAGTTCGTCAATTTAAGCTGCTTTTGATTTCAGCTACCAAGATCACAGGTGCACTCTACACATACACTGACAGACCCATAACAGTACTTACATCTTAGTGAATTCTATCACGTGGTAAAATGAACAGCTTTCTTTGTAACTCAGAAAATTCTCTTAGGACATTTTTATAAAGTCACCTGTTTATAGTTCTGTCTTTTCAGATTCCATTTCTTTTTACATAAAACAGCATACATATCAAAAACTGTAGCCTAGAAGAGAGTTTAATTTTTGGCTTTTGTTTTTGTTTAAAAAATTGCAGTGAAGAATGGGATGTTTGTGTTTATGGCTATTTGGGCACCTGTAGTAGAAACAGAAAAAAGTAAGGAAATGATAATAGGACAAGCATACTTGAAAATTTCTGAATATTTAAAGAAAAGCGCAACATCTTGAAAACCAGTCTAGTCATTGAAACGTATGAAATGACACTGAAAGATCCGGGGCTGCTTCTTATGTGTGGATCAACAAGACTTGTTTCAGAGTGACAGTGGAGTCGTTACCACTGGAGGACTGAAGGGCCCTGTGGCAGTTGTCACTGGAACTTTGCCTCTTGATCAGGTAAAATGCTACACCAGTCAGTAAAGCCAAGTTATATTTTTTTTATTGCCCTTTTTTCCTTCTGTATTTTTAAAGAAGGATGTTAATTTTTGACTATATATTTTAAAAAAATCTAAGCAGGGGGACATGCAAAAACAATCATCATCCACTTGGATGTCATTTTATAGATTAACACTGTGTGCTTTTGTATGGAAAAAATATATATAATTTAATAGTATAAAAAGTAAAATATTCATTTGCACTTCTGTGAAACACAAACTTTGCTCTACAAAATTTCATGTTTCTTAGTGATTTTAAAATGCATGTATTGCATGTAAAGGAAAACCATTACAATTAATGTTTATCACACCTTTATCTTGGTCTTTGTTGATTTGGGTTTTGTCGGGGTTTTTGTTACTGTTTTTAAATTACAGTAGGCTTCTTTATATCCTGGATTTCTGAACTGGTCTCGTTGACAAGGATTCCCAAGAAATGGATCTGTTCACTGGCTGCCTCTCCCATATCTGCAGGAGATTCTGCAGGAACGGGGTGTACACATGGTGTTGTAGCCAGTTCAGGTAGTGAACATTTAGGATTTGGTGAAGTTCACTGTATTGCTATATTTTTGTAGATATATAAAACTCAATAAATTGTTAATCATTCTCTTTTTGCTGTATTGAGTTGCTTATATCACTCTTTCTTTCATGACATTAAACAGTTAACATTTAAATGTTCCTCCTGTACTTGTGTTGTCTGTGACCACTTACAGAGTTTTATTACTGGAGTTTACCTGAATACCTGTGCGCACACACCCACATACTTCCTTAATACTTCTGAACTCATTATCTTTTAGAATAATAGTACTACACTTTACCAGCAATTAACTTCTCCCTACCCAAAATGTTTTTCTTCCTGTCTGAAAATGGAACTAATTTGTCTTACTCATGCTTATATCTGTATTAAATGTAATAAAGTTAGTTTTTGAAATGTAAAAATTCACTGTGCAATTCGTATGTAAGCAATAAAACATAAATCAGATTACTTGTATTTAAGTTCATTTTTTATAATAGCTATTGTTACATTTAATTAAATTTATTCAATATTTGCTTAAATTAAAAATGAAGAGCTTCTTTTGAGCCCAATAGTTCAAGGCTGCAGTGAGCTAGGATCATGCCACTATACTCCAGTCTGGTTGACAAAGCATGACCCCATCTCAAAAACAAAAAATGAAGAGCTTTAGTAGAAATCAATTTGCCAAGTGGATTCATTCCCATGTACATTGGAATATCAGAATGATAACTGCTAGTCATGACAAGACATAGTAAGGTAAAGTTCACAGTGTGTGCTTGTGAAAATGTAGTTGCCATCTCTGTGTCAGTCTTAATGATTGTCTTTTCAACCCTACCTCTTTGTCCTATAAATTACACAAAGCAGCTCTTAAAAAAAATATATATATATACACACACACACACACACACACTCTCAGTACCCTATCTCTCCCAACCCCCGGTTTGCTTATTCTACCACTTACACAGATGTGCTTCATAGCCTGAACCTCCTTTGTTAGGCAATGTAGCATAGCAGTGAGGAGCTCCGGCTCTTGTTCACAAATTCAGCACCACCACTACCTGGCTGAGTGACCTTAGGCCAATGACTGAACTTTGATCCATGAAGTTCTCATCTGTAAAATGAGTATGGTAGGTTCTGCTCTCCAAGGTTAGCTGTGAGGAGTAAGTGAACCACTTAGAAGAGGTTCCTTGTGCCACACCTACGTGACACAGAATAAGCATTCAATAAATGATTAATAATCATCCTTGAGTTCACTACACTGGAACATAAGCAACTGGGCAGCCCTCAGCTCTGCAGTCTTAGGCCAGCCATTCCACGTTTGTGAACCTGTTTGCATGGGTATAAAATGAGCACGGTGTTTGCTGTGCTATCCCATATACTTTCCTTCCAACTCTTGCTGTGATCCTGTTACCTGTTCTCTCATCTGATAAGCTATTGATCTCAAGTGCCAAGTTCAAATGAAGTTTTAAGCAGAGGCAAGGTGGAACATCAAACTCTACCTGTTTTGCTGTATTCAGCCTTTTACCTGTATGTTGAATCAAAGGCAGACTCTTAGGAAGGCACTGTCTTAGCCTAGGTTTCTCTAAAGCAGAGCCTGAGACAAGAGTATGTGCAGGTATTACTTTCGAAATTGATCGAACATGGAAGCAGAAAAGGCTGGTTAAGAGGATTTCTTGATTGCCTATCACTTGAGGTGCCTGCATAACCATTCCACTGGACATTCTAAGGAGTCTCATAAAAATCATCTCAAAACTTCCCAGGGGATGAAAAATTGGGAAAGCATCTATTATTTGTCTTCTGTTCATGGCTGAAGGTGGCCCTGTGGTCATTAACTCCCCCACATTTTTGGACTGTTTGTGCTTGAGTGCTGAGCTGTTACCCCAGGTTTCCCATACCTCTTTCTCGGGGAAGTCCTGTGCCAAAAGGCAGGAAGTACAGCAGTACAGCAAGCACGCAGGCATTGCCATTCCACTTCCATGAGGCAGGCAGAGTCTGTGTGGAAACTGTTATCACAGCAGGGTCTGAAGGGATATGTGAGGATTAGAGGATGTGAAGTCAAGCAAAAGATGTCCAAGATAGCACCATCTAATCTGGTATTTAAGAACAAGACTAAATCTGGGAGCATTTGGTTTATAATTTCATGTGTCCCCCATCTTGCTCACTGGTTTTGGCCATAATACCTCTTGCACTGTTCTATTTGCTGACCCTTCGCTTTTCTTATCCTACTTCACCTGCATAAAGGTTACAGCTGTACACGTGTACGATTCCTGATTTAAAAGACTTAACAGCTGAAAGAATCTTACAGTCAGGTTCATTCAAAGCTTACATTTTACAGATGACTACATTGAAATTCAGACTTAAAGCTGACAGTAGTCATTCACCAACTAACTTTAAGTAAACTTCTGATTATGTCATCAACTTTAGTGTATCTGAAAATTAGAAATACCATTCCATGCCCTAATATAGCAAGAAAATATAAAAAGTAATCATCTCAAATATAATTGTAAGTCATCTAAATGAATCAAGAAATTGAAATTAGGGATCCAGGGCATTCAACTCAGTCCATAGTAGTCTACTTTTAAAAAGAAAAAAAAAAAAAAAAAAAAAAACACCGTTTTACTGAGATATAATTCACATACCATAAAATTCACATTTCAAATTGTACAGTTCAGTGGCTTTTAATATATTCACAAAGTGAGGCACTGATCACCACTATCTAATCCCAGAACACTTAAATCACCCAAAAAGAAACCGCATACTCCTTACCAGTCACTCATTCCCCTTCACCACCAGGCCCTGGCAACTGCATTTCTCTAGGGACTAATAATGTTGAACATCTTTCCATGTGCTCTTTGGCCATTTGTATATCTTCTTTGGAGAAATATATATTCTGAATCTTTATTTTTTATGGAGTTGTCTTTTTTGGTTGTAGCTTCTTGTCCCTAGTCTGCACTCTTTCCAATTTTTTATTTTGCTGCCAGATACATCTTTCTGAAGTGTAGGAAGCACTGCTTAAAATACTTCTCAGACTTTCCTATACACAATAGGACCCAGACTTCCTTGCCCAACATTATAGGGCTTCCATCATCGTTATAACACCAGCCTTTCTGCTTCCTGAGGAAGTGACTCTAACATGAGTCCCGTTTTGGATGTGTTAAATTTAAGATGCCTGGGGAGCATCCAAGTAACATATACTAGCATGAGGTTGAATATTCAGGCCTGGAATTCAGAGATTTGGTAGTGATTCAGAAGTCAAAAACACATCGACAATAATTAAAACTGAAAGTGAATGAGCGTGTCCCAAGGAAGAGAGGGTTTGTGACCTGTGAAAAGCTGCTGGCCCCACATAGACACCTGGGAACACATAGCTTTAGAAAGAGGGGCTGCGAAAGGGACCAAGAGAAAGATACCAAGAAGTTAGAAGAGCTGCTTGTTCATGTGTTTGCCCGTTCCCTTTTTCAAACTATTAGGATTTGAAATCTAAAAATGCCCTAGAAGCCATATAAACGCAAAGTGGGGTAAAAAGTCTTTTTCTCCACCCATTATTGATTTATACTGTTGGGGGAGAAGTTACCATCAGAATCCTGTAATCTCAGGGAAAGTATCACCTTTAAATTCCCTTTCAGGTCCAGCTTTTTGTAATTCAGTCTACAGTGTAGTGCTATGAAGACTGTTTTCACTGAGTCAGACCTGGAATAATGCTTAGGAGTCATCAAATCTAACGCCTTCACTCTGGCCTTCTGGAGCAGAATGGACTGTCCCCTCCCTCCGCTATGCAGCCAGCAAGATGGGCCCAAGGGAAAAGACGTGAAATGAAAAGTGATTTAGGAAACTAAACAGGATAGAAGCTGGTGCTTACTCCAAGACACACAGCGGGGAATGGGACATGGGGGGACTTTTCAATTCTAGTTCAGTTAAGCACTGTCAGAATCATCTCTTAAAACATAAGTTCACTACTTCTGCCTAAAAGTATTTATAGGGAGAACTATTAAAGATTGTTAAGCAGAAGCAGTGAACTTGATGTGTTGTAAAAGAACCAATATGCTCACTTCTTAGCCAGACACTCAAGGCCCTTCACAATCTAAACCTACCCTGCAGATTGTTAAGCATAAACCCAGAATTTTTTATAAGATGGTATTTTTACCAGGGATCTGGAATGCCTGAATCCTGCCTTTACCAGTCAGTCAACCAGGGTGAAATTCTTGATAAGCTATTAACATAAAACAAATGTACTTTATTCCCCCATTATCTGCAGGGGATATATTCCAAGATCCCCAGTGGATGCCTGAGACCGTGGATACTACCAAACTCTATATACCACTATGTTTTTTCCTATCATACACACCTATGATAAAGTTTAATTTATAAATTAGGCACAGTAAGAGACTAACAGCAACAAGCCCATAGAAAAATTAATAACAATATACTTCTATAGACATAAAATAAGGGTGACTTGAACACAAGCACTGCAATACTGCAACAGTCAATCTGATAACTGAGATAGTTTCTAAGTGACTAATGGGCATGTAGTGTCTACAGCACAGATATGCTAGGCAAAGGGGTGATTCACATCCTAGGTGGGATGAATTGGGGTGGTGAGAGATTTTATCACACTACTTAGAACGGTACACAGCTTAAAAACTCTGAATTGTTTATTTCTAGAGTTTTCCATTTAATATTTTCAGACCTGAATTGTCCACAGGTAACTAAAACCACAAAAAGCAAAACTGCAGATAAGCGGGGGACTACTGTAAATATAAAGCAAACTACCAGTTTAAGCTGTACCTGAGAGACATTGCTAGACACCCCTTTAAAAAGCTCTCCATAAAGGCTTCCTAGTCCAAATACGGCTCTCCCTGGCAGGACTTCTCAGGAATCTAGACCTACTTCATTCTCAGTACCTGAGCAGCTGATTGTTGCTGGTGAGATGTAGACCAAGGGAGGTAGAGCCAGGAGAGTGTATTGATGGGTTGAACTGGGAAGATACAGGAAAAGTTTCCGAGGTTTTAGGACAGATTAAGTTTGATGATTGGCTGTGTCATTCACTAAGGCAGGAAGAGTGGGGCAAGAGCAAGTTCATAGTGGGAGAGGATGCATCAGGCTAGGAATCAAGGGGTTTGTTTTGGCCAAGTTAAACTTCAGATGCTTAAAGACTATCAAGCAAAAATCCAAGTGACTATTCAAATATATGAGTTTGGATTCATGGAAAAGGTCAGCATTTGAGCCATAAACATGGAAATCATCAGTAGATTGCATGAAGAGAGAAGAGAATACTGACAAAGACTCTCTCCTTGATCAAGGAGATCAAGTCAGGCTCCTCTGAGCCCTCTTCTCAAGTAGGCCTCAGACTAGGCCTTTGAGAACTTCCACTCTCACCACAAACAATTTTGTCCACTCCCCACACTAGGAGGCTTGAGCAAACACCAGTATAGCTCCTAACAGCTCAAGGCCACACCCTTAGGATAAGG